TTTGGCTACAACAACCCCAGGCGACGCTACAGGCTTGGGGCGGTGTGGCTGGAGGACTGCGTAGAGGAAATGGACCTGGGGGTATTGATTGATGCTCGGCTGAACAGGAGCCGACAGTGTGCCCAGGTGGCCAAGAAGGCCAATGGCATCCTGGCTGGCATCAGAAACAGTGTTGCAAGCAGGAGCAGAGAGCTGATTGTTCCCCTGTATTCAGCACTGGTGAGGCTGCACCTCGAGTACGGTGTCCAGTTTTGGGCCCCTCACTCCAAGAAAGACATTGAGGCCCTGGAACGTGTTCAAAGGAGGGCAACAAAGCTGGTGAGGGGTCTGGAACACAGGCCATATGAGGAGAGGCTGAAGGAGCTGGGAATGTTCAGCCTGGAGAAGAGGAGGCTCAGGGGAGACCTCATTGCTCTCTATAACTTCCTGAAGGGAGGTTGTAGTGAGCTGGGGGTCGGCCTCTTCTCTCGTGTCATTAGTGATAGGAGCAGAGGGAATGGTTTCAAGCTACGGCAGGGGAGATTCAGGCTGGACATGAGGAAGTATTACTTTTCAGAAAGGGTGGTCAGGCACTGGAATGGCTGCCCAGGGAGGTGGTGGAGTCACCGACCCTGGGGGTGTTCAAGGAAAGGCTGGATGTTGTGTTGAGGGACATGGTTTAGTGGGAGCTATTGGGAATAGGTGAACGGTTGGACTGGATGATCTTTTAGGTCTTTTCCAACCTTGGTGATTCTATGATTCTATGAATAGTTGGTTACTATTTTCAGAGTAGATGTTGGCATTGTTTTGTTTTTCTTCCCTCGATAAGATTCTAACCAAAACAGGTGAATTTTTACAATAAGCTTTGCTGGTTGCCTTGTGCAAATGTGTGTATACTTCTGCTACCAGATAGAAAGGGCACATTCGTCTTAAGCACTGTTAAGTTCAGTTTTTTCTTCCTCTCAATTGCCTTTGTTCCTTTTAAAATGCCAGTTTATGCTGGCAATGGCAGAATACATCAGTGTGTGTGACTGGGATATTACAAGATACTGTTTAAGTTTGACATTGAAACACTTAAATGGATTGAACTTGTGGCAGTGATAAAACACAGCTTCAGTTGGAGTAAGTAGCTGTTGAAGTTTTAACAGCAGGAATTAATACCAAGTTTCCTTGCTTGTATACATACCTGCTATTTGTACACCTGTGAGAAGTCACTTGTTTTCGGAATGCCAGCTAATGCACTGCAGGATGACTTATATAAGTGGGTCAAGAGCAATTGAGGGAGAACTTATCTTTTGCTCTTCACTTAACAAGCAGTATAAAAGATTGTGCTTCAGAAGTTTAGATAAGTACCTAGTAAAAGTGCATGTAGTTGTATCCTGTGAGGGAATTATGTGAAAGCTGCACAAGAAGTGAGATCAATAGAAGCTGTTGATATTATGTACTGTAGCAATTATTCTTTAACAGTTAACTATAGGAAACTGGGGGGAAAAAAAATCCTCTACAGAAGGATTTACACTTGCAACTCCTAGAATGAGAACAGTCAGTTTACAGTTTAAAAACTGTGACTCAAAATTATTTTGACTGGGAAGATAAAACAACCATTATATTAGGTCAAAGTACAAAAACTGTAGTCTGGTAGATTCAGCTAAACGTAAATATTAAGTTATCTACAGTTTCCAAATGTGATTTGTGCTACCAGGATTTATGTACTCTCTGTCTTGATACTGGGCATCCCCAAGTCACTGCGGAGGAATTAGAGCCAACTCAGGATCTTCAGAGTTAGTTTTTGTCTTTGGCAACACTGTCCTCATTCATCTTCACTTGTTTTAGTCGTCCTCTTTAATACGAAAAGACTTTCAAAGATTATGTTTAAGTGAACAGTAATTTTGATTTTTACTACTATTACAGTGTGACTGTTAGCTTGAATATATCTGTATCTTGGAGACGTGTATTTGAATTAGGTCCAATTTGGCATACATGGCTTTTGACAGTCATTTCATTTATTTTTACTTTTTTGCCTAGTTTCTGACTTAATCTAAAATGCAGACCAGTTACTGTTTACAAAGTATTAATCTTTATTTTCTGTATCATTTTTAGATTTACTGTCAGTGAAGGAGTGTACTGAGGTCAATATGGAACAACTTTGCCCTGTTTCAGAAGAGACTTCTTCACAAGAGTCGACGCACATTCCAAGAGAAATTGATGAAACCATAGTAACTGAATTAACTGTACCTGATGAAAAAGTTACTCAAATAGAAAATATACTTGATCTCTGGAGTGGAAGTCTTAAGGTATTTATTTTGTATGCAATCCTTAAAAATAAAATACAAATGTCGGTATGTTGTTGTAGATTAAGTGGGAGTGTGGGGAAATTTGTATAGTGGTTACATTCCAAAATTATGGTTTTCTTTTTGTTTTTGTTGCATATTGCATGTAAGTACGAGACAAAAATAGAATAACTTTCTGGGTCACTGGGTGTTTAGTTAGTTCACTGTCTGGTAATGTACGTAGGTGCATACAGCCTGGAGACTTCCCTTCAAATACTGATCTGTCCTTAATTGCAGGGTGTTGAAAGATTAAAAGATTAGGGGGGAGGGGAAATAATTTTATGAATTTCACTACTGTCATCCTTTTACTTTTTAGACAAATGTTCTGAGTGAATTGAGAAAATGGAAATTAAGTTTTATCGAACATCACAAGCATCAAATGAGACAAGAAAAAGAGAAACATGCTGAACATGTGAAACAATTGAATAATGAGATGGAAAACCTGAAAGAGTTGCTACATACTTATGAGATCTCTATTGGCAGAAAAGATGAGGTAGTATTTCAATTTCAGAGTTCAATTGTTCTCTCTTTAAAAACAAACAAACTTTTTTACACTGTCTATTTGACCAACCAAATACTTGCTACAAATAAGTAAATATCTTTAGACTGTATTGTGAAAAAATAACATATTAAGACTGTATGGTGGGAAAATGAATCGTTGTTGCTGGGAAGCTTCTAACAGTGGAAATAAGCTTCTAACAATGGAAATCTAATATGAAGTATGTATATATTTTACATTGTTTGCTTTTAAATCTTCTATCTAATCTTATTCTTCATTTGTTTTGTGAAAATCACACAAGAGTCTATTAGCTTTTATCTGCAGAAAGCCATTCATTTTTCTATTGATTGGATTGGTTTTACTGCATTTTAACTAGGTAGCAGTCTTCAGAATGTTTAGAGAGTCTTAGTTTTGAGTTTCTTGGAACTGCACATTTGTGGTCTTCTATATGGTTATAGCTATGCTATGCTATGCTATGTTTTTCTATGAACAACTTCAAAGTTAACTGTGGAAATGCACATAAAATTGTGGTAGACCTGCAACCGCATAAAATAAGAGGATTCAATTACACTAACCTAATTTTTAAACATTTTAGTTGAGAAGACTTCACAAAGTTTGGACTTTTAATTCATATTTACAATTAAAAAGGCTGGTCTGTATTCCAAAAAAATCTGCCGATGGACTTAGATTCTGAAGGAAGGGTGATCTTTTTCCAAAAATTAAATGCATTTCCTAATTGATGACAAATTATGCATGTTTTCTTCTAATTTTAGATAAATTTTCTACTTATGACTGAAACACAGTTTTTCTGAAACTACAAAAAGTTAGAGCTTGCCATATTTAAGTAAAGTAACTTACATTTATAAAAATAGATAGTATTATGAGAAAATTATTCTTGAAATCTAGACAAGAGTCAGTGAATGAATGCTACTCCTGATTTGAATTCTGATTGCTTTTCCCTGCTTAATTGGATTAAAAGGAAGATGTAATAAAAAGCTGATGCTAAAAGTAAATGCTTTAAGTGAAAATAAGTCTGAAACTCCATTCCGTTTGAGATTACAAAGATCATAGTTCTTGATGTAACGTTAATAAATGTTTTTGCAGGTGATTACTAACATGACAGAAGCATTAGAGAGGAAGAAAGAGAAAATAGAGTTAATGAGAATGTTTACACTGTGGCGGATTCAGCAAATTAAAGCTAAACAAGAGGTATGTGTGCAAAATAAAAATGTGATGAAAATGAAAGCTGTGAATACAAGAGTCAGAATTGGTAATGCTCTTGTTACTGTTGGAAGATATGGCAATTCTTCCATGTCAAATAACAGTTTGAAAGCATCAGTGTCCCCGAAAATGCTGCTGTCTGAATACTCTCTGGGATGGTGAAAGAAATGAAACTACTTGTTTAGGATATTGGTTTGCTCCTACTGTGATCGTCTTATAGCGAATCGCTGAAGTTTACGGGATGTGTACTCTGAAGTAGGTGACAAGGGAATGTCTATTAATTTTAAATAAATTATGTTTGAACAACTAAATTACTAAATATCACATCCTACGTTTTTTGGGACCCAGTCTCACAATTAAAACTTAGCTGCCAAAGCATGCATTAGCTAAGAGCTAGATACTTAGAAAATGTGGAGCACTGTACCAGGTGCTGTAAAGAGCCTGCTAAATGAAACATAACAGAAAAAGGGGATCTTGAATCAAGGCTGCAGAACTTTCACAGTCCAAAGTAGATTCATGTTTATTTGACAGTGCCCTAAACTCTGCTGTTTCACAGAAAGGGATAGCCTTTTCTCTTTTCTTCTCTCCTATGTGGGAATTTACTAATAATTTGGAGCTACTTTAGGGAAATTACTCAACTTTTTCTATTTCTTCTGATTAATTTCTGAAAAAAGCAATGCTAAAGTATATTGTCTGGTGAATATTTTGAAACAGTAGAATTACTCATTATTGAAGTGGAATTATAGAATTATGTTAAAAAAAAAAAAGCAAAAAAAAAAAACAAAAAAAAAAACAACTAGTTAAAGCATCCTGGACTCTATATATATGGTGTTTTTTTTTTAAGGATGATGATTTATGCTAATATCAGTTATCCTTGTGACTGTAGGCTTGTACTGTATATGCGAGGCTTTTGTTTACAAGTCATTAAGCTGTGAATAAAAACACTGGTTTGTGTTATCTAGGTGCTCTACAGTGTGTATTTTGTTACTGAGTAAAGTTCCTTAATGCGTGCGCAGGCAGAATGATTGAGCTACTGGTATGGTGTTTCACAGTGAAGCACCACATAAACACAGTACTGTTCAGACATTCCCACTGTGGTCTGAGTAATATGTGGATAAGCAGTCATCCACAATCACTTCAGTTTTTAGCTAACTTGCACTTGCTTATAACGTGATTTCATTTGTTTCCCAAGGAATATGCAAACAAAATAGCAGATAAACAGTTCCAGACAGCTTTGAAGAAGAAGGTATGGACAGCATGGCGCTCTCTCAGTGAAGAAAGATGGAAAGAAAAAGTAGCTAAAGCCTGTCAGTTAAGGGCAGAAGATATCTGTGTTCAGCTTACCAATGATTATGAAGCCAAAATTGCAGAGGTATAGTAAAGTTTCTTTTTTCCATTCCTTAACTCCTTCTCTCAATACATCGATTCCCCCAAAGCGTATCTTTCTCAGCAAGCTTGAAAAACACGGAGACTTTCCAAGAGAACAAAGCTCTTAAGTACAGGAAAAGATGTGAGGAGATCTAGGATTTCTCCTGCAGGTGGTTGCTTTCTGATGTAAAATGTTGCTGATCTGCACATGCAGGTGAAGTAAATATCTATTTTCACATCACTAGGAATTGTACCTGATTCCTACACACTGTTAATATTTGCTACTTATTTTGAGGTCTCACTGAAGAAGGAAGGGTGTTATAGAAATAAAAGTCTGTTATTATTATTATAAATGACCATAAAGAGTACAATATCTTTTTCTACAACAGCTACTATGTTAGAAGTTTATTTTTGTCTTCAACCTGTCAACTACACTTCTTGAAAAATATTCAAAGTTTATCGTGAAGATAGGTTAGTAATGACTGTTGTCCCCCAGAGATTTGTCTTTGGACCAGTACTGTTCAACATCTTAATCAATGGTCTGGACAGAGGGATTGAATGCACTGTCAGCAACTTTGCAGGTGATGCTGAGCTAAATGGTACAGTTGATACAACAGAAGGAAGGGTTGGCATTCAAAGGGACAAGCTTGAGAAGTGGGCCCACATCACAGAATTACAGAATTGTAGGGATTGAAAGGGACTTTTGGAGATCATAATGTCCAACAGCCTGCTAAAGCAGGTTTCCTACAATAGATCATAGAGAAAAATTTCAAGATGGGTCTTGAATATTTCCAGAGAAGGAGACTCCACAACCTCTCTGGGCAGACTGTTCCAGTACTCTGGAATCTAATGAGCTTAATTGGATTTAACAAGCTGAAGCACAGGATATTGCAATTACACTGTGGCAATCCCAGGCATGTGTATAGGCTGGAAGAACTCACTGAGAGCTGGCCTGCTGAGAAGGACTTGGGGGTTCTGCTGGATGAAAAGCTTTACCTGAGCTAGCAGTGTGCTCTTGCTGCCCAGAAGCCAATCATATCCTGGTCTGTATCAAAAGAGGGGTGGCCAGCAGGGAGAAGGAGGGAGTTGTCCCCCTCTGCTCCATGCTCATGAGGCCCCATCTGGAGTATTGCATCCAGTACTGGGGCACCCAGTCTAAGAAGGAGGTGAAACTGTTGGAGCGGGTCTGGAGGAGAGCTGCCATGGTGATCTGAGGGCTGGAGCACTTTTTATAAAGAATCTCTGAGGGAGTTGAGCTTGTTCAGGTTGGAGAAGAGAAAGCTCCAGGGAGACCTTATTGTGGTCTTCCAGTAGCTAAAGGGAGTTTATGAACAACAGAGAGACCAACTTTTTTCACTGTCCGATAGTGGCAGGACAAGGGAAAATGGTTTTAAACTAAAAGAGGGAAGATTTAGATTAGATATTAGGGGGAAGTTGTTTTGTTTTTTTTTTTACACAGAGGTTGGTGAGGTAGCTGGAGCAAACTGTTCCAGGGAAGTTGTGGATGCCCCATATGCTTGGAGATTTTCAAAGTCAGGTAGGATGGGTTCATGGATAGCCTAATCTAGTGGGTGACAACCCTGCCGTCTAGTTTGCTATGGATGGAATCACAGAAGGGCTTAAGGATCATCTAGTTCCAACCCAAGTCCTTCTATGATTCTATCCTTTTCAAACTAGAGATTTTGAAGTGAAAATACATTTTGTAAACACATTAAGTGACTTTTAAAGCTAATTGAACATGTTCGTGGTTTGCATCCAGAAGTACAAGGCAGCTGTTTCCATACTCTCTTTTGTAGCTAACTGCTACTTTGGAACAAACAAGAGCTGAGATTCTGCGTCTGCATAATGAAAGAGAGCAGTATGAAGACACTATGAAGAAAGCATTTATGCGTGGTGTTTGTGCTTTGAATCTGGAAGCAATGACCATGTTTCAAGGCAAGGACAATAGGACAGATCCCGGTCAGTATAACAGTAGATTTAATTTGGGAGTTTGTAGTTTTTGTTGTTCTTATTGTCTTCTGTTGTTTTTAAAAAAGATTCTCCTTTTTTTCTTCTTCTTTTTTTTTTTTTTTTTTTTTTTAACGTGAAGACTTAATCTAACATATATTTCTTTAAAAAGATGGATTGAATATGTAAAAAAAAATGTTCTGATGCTGAAGAACATACTGCTAAGTAATAAATAAAATAAATGATTTCTCGGAGATGGTGAATTCATGAATAAAATGTTTACCTTTCAATGTATTATAAACACAAAACTGCTCTCTCAAGTTTTATCTTACATTTGCGTGTTGATTATTTTCAAAAAAACTTGCAACAGATAGTGTGTCTCACAGACAGTGATGGGTAACTGGATTATGTGTTTTGTAATGGGCCCCTTACATTTCTGTGTTTGCGATATGTATCTACAAACACTGCAGTGCCACCTATTGTCACTGCAAGTAAAAGCAGAATTTGGTCCCTTAAAAGACTTACAGGTAGTTATTAATGGTGTGCAAGTATCACAATTTGACATGGGTCTAGTATTTGGAGAGAGTGCAGATGGTCAGAAGTCTGTGGCTGATTTACTGATGGGTGATTTTGCATATCATGTTTTTTTAGCTTGAATCCACAATAGGTCATGTTCTGTTATAATGGAAATACCACTGCTTAAGTAATGCAGATCAGATATGTATGCCATGATCCTTTCTGTGCCTAAGCTTGATGTGTGTGTGTGTGTGTGTGTGTGTGTGTGTGTGTATGTATATGTATGTATATGTTTGTATAAAATGTGTATTCTGGCATATTTTCATTCTTGAAAACCTTGAATATTGTACCAATTGAACTATGTTAATTATTATATTTTTACTGCTCTCTTTAAGAGAACAGTAACAACAACAACAACAAAAAAAAAAAACAGTTGCTATACGATATACTCTAATGAGCTTCTACTTCTAATGAGCTTCTCCTGGAGCTCCTGTTGCATTATTTGCTTTAGAAATGGAAGAGTAAACAAGAGTATTTCTTTCTGTTTCCCTTAAGGAAGCATATATTCTAAAAGTAAAGGCTGAAACAACTTGAAAAGATTCTGTGCTTAGGTCTGCAGAACACATATCCCCAGGGTGTCTGCACTGAGGCAAAAGAATGGTGATGTGTTCTGTACAGTCTTTCCATGCCTCACTGCTGTCTTTCTGAAGTAATTTTTGGCCTTTAGTGTAAGGGCAGCTCTTGCACAGTTGGGATAGTATTTGCAAGCACTATTCAGAAGCTCTGTGCTTTGCACTGAAATTCAACAAGCAGAGCAAAACAGAGAAACAAGTCACCTGAAATTTCTGTTCCCAGATTTCTGAAAAGGAGGGTCAAATAAGGAGTAGAATAGACTGTTATAGACTATTGGAATAGACTATTCTATTCCAAATAAGGAATAGAATAGATCTGTTTAATTCGTTTATACAGAAATACCAAAGGAGTAGTAAAACTTTTACTATAACATATTTCGTATTCCCCAGCACTTGCTAGATTATGTGCTGATCCCATTACTCTGTGTTTCTTACAATAGATTCAGGAAGTAGGAGAGAAGATAATGGTGCCATTATAGCAGGAAGGCTACCTCATTCACAGTACAGTCCCCCTTCACCACCCCCTGCACCAGCAACTGCTCTTCCCACGGAAGACTTGGTAAGTCAGTGCTGTATTCACTAGCAGTGAAAATAAATTTCCTACCCTGGGGCTTTTTAAAGATAAATATGATATGATAGTCCATGAACTGAAGGAATTTGAACTTAGTCTAAGTATAAAAAGAAACCTACAAGTATGTTCAGAGTGTTTGCTGTAAATGAAGTGCGTAAGTCATGGTTGCTAAGACTTGCCATACTTTCAGTTAGATCTGTCTTTGATTTTAGTGAAGATGTGTTAAGGTGATGAGAAGAAAGTCACTATAACAAGCAGAATTTGCTTTCCAAGGTTTCTACTGAAAAAAGAAATTGTTAGAGTGGCTTGCCAAAAAGAAAGAACTGAGCTTACTATTCTCTGGGGGAAAAATGGAAGTTAGCTTGACATTAAATTTCTTTTTAAAAAATGCAACATGTGTAGTCGCTGAGGAAAAACTTATCTTATTCTCCTGTCATGTCAGCTTATCCAGATTATTATCCAGTAGCCTGGAAATTCTAGACCTGCCCTGGAGTTATGCTGAAGACACTAACAATTCCACACTAGAACAGGGAGAAGACATGCTTGCCTCTTTCCCCAGTTTTCCATTCTAACAGTACCAAACGTTAGTCACTTAATTTCCATGAACTTTTAGACAAGTATTTTTTTAAAAAGGATTTTTAAATTAGCAAAAAAAAACCAACAACAAAACATTAAAAATAGTACTGCAAAGTCTGCAAAAAAGCTTGAATTTAGAAAGGTAAGTGGAATAGTCAATAGACTGTCTATCTGAAGAGCAAAACTGTATTTTCGGGAACATTATACTCATTCTTTAAACTCTTTCAATTCAATTAACAGTTTTCTACTCACCTGGGTCATGCAAGCACTTCTCAGACAAGGCTAGATTCTGATTCTCCAGTAATCATCCCTGGCACAGCTGCAGGATCTGGGCTGGCATCAACTCAGAAATTGGTAACATGTTCAGACTGACTTTTTTTTAAGGCAATTATAACAAATTTTTGTTTCCACTTTTTTAGAGAGGCTCAAATGTGTAGTTAAGAAAACTGTCATAGAGTTCAGTTACGTGTGTGAAGACACTGTCTTGTGAATGCTTGCTAATGTGATGGAAAAACCCTCTTAGGATAAGCTTTAACTCATTTTTGGAGTAACAAAGAGTAAGAGAAGTGCATGTGCATTTGGGTATAATACAAGAGGAACAATTGGTGTTTCACATGGTACCATTTTGTTCTGGAAAAAAATACGGTCTGCTTTTGCCTCCTGCTATTTAATATGTCTCTCTCATTCTCTTTTCTGTATTTGTTACTAAACAGTACTTTTAGATTTCCTCAAGGCTCCTCTGCATTGCTCTCCTTTTCTTTTTCCATCTGATGCAATTTGCTGCTAGCAATCAGAAAGATGCAACTTTCTATCACCTAGAAGTGTTCTTGTATCTGCTGTGTCACTGCTGGAAAGGCTTGTCAGGGTGATGAAAGTGCCTGCAGCTATCACTGGAGTATGCTGCCAGTGAGCAAAGCTAAACTACCCGTGCAGATTGATTTTTGTCAAATTAGCCTTACCCCCCTCAGGACAGTAGTCACTTCACTAAAAAACATCTCTGTGGAGAAAGACAGAATTAACTAGGTTACAAATAGGAGGTGCAGCTTCCGTCCCATGTGTAACATAAGTTACTACGTGCAGTTTCCTATGTTATGTTAGGCAAGCAGCTAATAAACATAAGCAGAAAACTAAAACATCGTAAATATGATGCTTAGAAATTTTGCTAACTAATATCTAATTTATTTGTAGCCCATGGCAAAAGTAATAACATCTGCTCAACAGAAGGCAGGGAGAACAATCACTGCTCGAATCACAGGCAGATGTGATATGGGACAAAAACACAGAATTTGTGGTAGTTTAGCAGTGATGGGAGTTGCTCCACCCATGAGTTCGGTCATTGTTGAAAAACATCATCCGGTCACTCAGGTAAGTCAGAACTATGCTTGTAATAGTGTTGTATAAATAAAGATGATCACCATGAAGAGATAGATAATTAGACTTGAGTGCTTTTTAAAACAATATGCAGTACTGGAGCTGGACAGAATAACAGAGTAAGGTGAAGTGGCAGTGTTTACTTCTTTTATCATATTTTGTTCATAGGCATAATAATCTCTTTCTTGTCCAACACTTCAGTGAGTCCTTCCTGTCCGTAGCTGGTTGTCATCTGGTCCAACAATGTTAGGTGCTATCATCACACGGCTGCCATTTAAAGACAAGCTTTGCAGTGGAGCAATCGTTTCAAACATGGTAGAGATACCATGCAAGCTGAGAATAGCAAATTATTGGAGAAAAAAGCAGAATCTTTATCAAGAGGCAACAAAGTTCATCTGGCCTGCTTCTTGTCGTATCCTTTTATTTCCCCCACTTATCTGAAGAAATACTGAGACAAGTGCATTAATAGGGTATGAAGGCAATATAAAAGGCGACTGTAAATGGTAGCCCAAATCACTTAGTCTGTCACTATGCATTTAGACCAGTCTGAGCAAAAAAGGGTTTTAACTTTTTAAGAATTCAGAGTCTATGACTAGTGTCACTATTGCTCCAAAGCCTGCCTTTTAAAAATGCAGTCACAAAGTTGCAAAATGGTTGAGGTTAGAAGGTGCCCCTGGAAGGTGCCGGGTCCAACCTTGCTCAATCAGGGACACCTGGAGCAGATTCCCAGGCCTCTGTCATGGTGGCATTTCAAGATCTCCAGAGAGGAGGGTCTGCAGGTTCTGAGGGCAGCTGGTGCCAGTGCTCTGTCACTGATACAGCACAGAAGAGCTGCCTAATGCTCAGACAGAGCCTCTTCTATTCCACTTTGTGCCCACTGCCTCTTGTCCTGGCACTGGGCACCATGAAAAGAATCTTCTCTGCACCCTTACCTTAGGTATTTATGAACACTGATGAGATCCCCCCTCACCCTTCTTTTCTCTGGGATGAACAGCCCCAGCTCTCTCAGCCTTTCTTCATACCCCCATACCCTCAGTATTTGTCGGTGCAGCCTACCAGGACCTGTAGAGTTTGTCCAGTTTGCTCAGGTATTCCCTTACCTGATCCTTTGCTACCAAAGGTGCATTTTCCTTGCTTCAGCCATTCATCCTGGCCTCTGAGATCTAGGATTCTTAAATGCCAGACTTGCTGTTAAAGAAGGCACTCATACCTTGCCTTTTCACTGCCCCAGATCAGCAGGTCTCGTTTCCTTCATGAGAGATTCATATTTTCCCTAATCTTCCTTTTGTCATTGAGAAGAAGCCCTTCTTGTTGCCTTTGTTGTCCATGGACAGATTTAATTTCATCTCTGCTTTAGCTTTCCTAGCTTGATCTCTGGCTGCTCAGACAATGTCTCTGTATTCCTAGACATTCCCAGAAATATATGCCTTATCCTGCAAATAAAAGTCTAAATGCACATCAACCAGACTCAAGTATTTCTCTTGTCATCTGACAGAGCCTACCTTGATTAAGAGAAGAACAGTTTTTGCATATATATACTGTATATATTTACTGTATATTGCAGTAAGAAGTCTAGCTTGAGGGGAGAAATTTATTTCTTAAGTAAATGCAAGCTTCTTCCTTTCAGAAACCAATTCAACTTTCTGATAGCAAATGCTATCAGAATATAAAAGGAGTGTTGGTGTTATTACATTAGAACTGCAAAGGAATATTCTGAATGAGCTTTAAAAGCAATAAGTCTTGAAATTAGATCATGTAGATCAAGGTGATCAAGTTCAGGGTTTATGGTTAACTGGAAGCTTAGCACTTTATGTTCTAAGTATATTACATAAGGAAGTAAAAAAAAAATAGTTACCCCATTTTATTTTGGTTTTTTTTAAGTGTAGTTCAGTTTGTATTAGGAATCTTTCCCTTTAAACTACAGTTCGCTTACAGTTACTTGAATGGAGTTGGGTTGTTTTGCATTCTTTAAAGATTTGTGGTGTCTGATTACTTTTCAGCAAACCATATCCCAAGCCACTGCTGCTAAATATCCTCGAACTGTGTTCCTTACTTCTGGTTCTACAACTGTGAGACCTGCAGGACAAGTTGGGCGAATGCTTCAGAGCCAAACTCATACCAGCGTTCAGTCAATAAAAGTTGTTGACTGAGTAAATATCTTTCACTGGTGGAGGTTTTTATCAAGATAAGTATTTTAAACCTCTTCCCAGTCTTTTCAAAGCTTGACGTAGCAAGACCTAAAGTGTGCATCATGTTTTCAGCCCTTTTAACAAAAAAAAAGTGTTTGCAGAAAGCTTCTGGAGGGGAAAACGACCTTGAAATGTTATTCTACCTCCTAATTGAAAACTTGGTTATTAAGATAAACACTTTATTTAAATAAAGAATCTTTTGCACATTTTCAAATAAAGAATAAAATACATTTGTCCGAATTGTTTACTTTCAGTATAAATGCTAGTGCATTTATTTTCAAGTAAAAATGAAATTTATTTTTGTTATCTATGCTTTTACTAAATGTAGTTGACTTGGTTAAACAAAGAATAACAGACAATAGGGCAGTGGCCTCCACAGCCAGGATATGACATAAGTCGGGTTACACACCTCGAGTCTAGCAAACTGTCAAGCATTTTCATTTTGCAAAATGTTGATGCATGCCTGACAGGATGTAAGAGTTTGTGTTTTAACTTAGGTCCCAGATTCTAAAACCTGGGGATTTACCAATTTCCGTCTTCTGTATAGTTCTGCAGCCTTGTCAGAACGGCTTGAATGTGAAAGAGCACTTAGGCATAAGACTAAGACCTCAGATTACCAGCTTTGTATGCAGACACTGAAGTCCAGTACCGAAAGATGCTGGGTATGCAGTGGTAGGTAAAGCAATACCTCAGTACTTCCATTATATGATAAAACTGCTGTTGTGTTACACATAGGAGTATGAAGACAGACATTGTACGTCATTTTTCAGATGTGAAATGTGTTCAGTAGTCAGAAAACTTGTAAACATTATCCAAGACACCACCAAATATAGTTCAAGGAATAAACAAGGTTTAAAAATGTTTAAAAACATATATGTAAAGTATTAAATTATCAAATATTCTTTTTTGAGTGTGTAAACAAGGTTATGCCATGACAAAATTCTGTAGCTAGTTGCAGATGGTTTTAGATGCTATTTTTGTATATTTTTACTATATGAATCAAATGCTGAAGAGGAAACACTTGTCTAAGCATTAACTAAACAAGAAAGTCTCCTCAGATAGGAAAACTGTAATCCTAACAAGACTATAAAAAACTGAATTCCAAATGAGGTGAGATGCCAACCTATTTTGGGAAGTGCTGATTTATACACCCAATTTTCACTTATTAAATTTATTTCAACAAGAAAATGTCTCATTTACATTTTAGGTCAAATACAATGTAGCTTTAGTGGGGAGTTCTGATAAAGAATTACTACACAATGTTAAGGCAGGTGCAGAAATTATAGGGTGGCTCTTGCTTGACAATATAGTCCTAAATTACCATCTAGGCATTCACTTTAGATCATTGTATAGCAAAGAATAACCGGTATTTCAGGAGAGCAAGTTCTTCTAGCTTGCAGCTTCAAAATACATTTTCATTTCTAGAAAAGATATTTGTATATGAAAGTCTCTCCATCTGGCATGTAATTCCATCACATATGCCATTTATCAATGAACTCATGAAATTTCACATTTTCTGGACTCCATGTCAGCGCTACTTTCAGTTCTGATCTTCTCTATAAAGAAAGATGAGAAAATGTTTGCTTGACGTACACAGATTTTACATGGCCAGCACTTCTCTCAATGAAGGAGTGGGCGATCACATTTTGATGGTGTTTGTAAGACAAAGGAAGGGAGCAAAGTGTGTGTATTTCTCTCTTCCTTCAGAAAACTTGTCTTGCTTAAACTCTCTTCCTTGACCAGCTCCAGCTCCTTGCAAGGGCAGATTCCCAGAGAGGAGTGTCCTCCCCCTCTACCACAGTCACATCTTCCCAGCACAGGCTGGGAGCTCAGCACCACGTGGCACTTTGGTAAATGCTCTCTATGCCACAAAAAAACTTACCAGCTAAATGCTGAAATCCTGCTTCCACCAAGTCTTTGAATATATTCTTGACAGGATTCTGATGGGCCAACAAAGTACCGTGTAACCAGATCAGCAGCATTCTGTGGCCGTGTTCTTTATAACTTTTCTTCCCTATGGAATACACAAATCAAGTCTGTTTGACTTGCTGGAAATGTGCTGTTTTGTGCTTTTACACTTCTGCACATCCAAGAGACTTAAAACCTGCTCATTCATTCTCACTTCCTCCCCCATCTAGAAGCAAAATGAAGACTGAGAAATAAAGGTTAATAATAATAAATATATATAATAATATATAATAAATAATAAATATAGTGATAATTAATAAATATGCTAAGGCTTAATAAATAAATCCAGTATGAACAGATCTTAAAATAGCTCCATGCTTTAACACGGTTTGTATAACTTAAGTCTGTCCATCCCAGCCTGCTGTTACCTGTCCATTGTTCCTCAATAGCTTTAATCTGCTCATCTGTGAACTTCCAGAACAGGGCCAGTATTTTCCATTCCTGGGGTTTTAAATGATTGTACGCCAGATTCCACAGGGAGGAACGGAGTTGCTTGGTGCGTGTACTGTGATCTTGTTTGAAGGACAAATCAGAGTCTGACCAACCGTCACCATGACCTAGGTGTGCCTAACAACGACAGCAAATGACATTTTTTGTGATGAAGGTGAGAACTTAGCAGTGAACACTGTGTCCTGCACAGCCTTACGTGACTACCAGCAGGTGAAAGGCTCGGTGCAGATAAAGGGGCAGTGTTGGCTGGCAGTAAGCTCTTAAGAAGGTGCTCAGCATGGATGACAGTATTCCAGTGTTAATACTAGAAATGGCAGAAATGAAGACCTCCTGTGTTCATTGCTACATGTCAGTAAGAGCAAAATAAAATTACTTCAGACACACACTGCACAATAGCAGGTAAAAGCAAGAATTACTTGAGTCCCTTGGCTGACAACTTTAGAAGCCACATGTTGAACATGGCTGGAGTTCAGCCACAGCTCTTACTCATTCTGCTTGATGTACACCACCAACACAGCACTTGCCCAGACTGCTCCTGCTCTGCCTTGTCACTCAGTTTGACTGGAGCAGGCACTACCGTGTCACTGGTTGGCAGCGTGAAACACTAGCATTAGCATATATCCACAGTGTTTGAGTACTAACACACATGGAATCTGAATGTACCCAGACCAAAAATACAACCAAACCGCAAGCATTTTGCCCTGATGTTAGGTCTGGGGCCCTCAGCACAGGAAGGATGTGGAGTTCTTGGAGCAGGTCCAGAGGAGGGCCAGTAAGAGGGCTGGAGCACCTCTCCAATGAGCCAAGGTTGAAGGAACTGGGCTTGTTTAGCTTGGGGAAGAGAAGGTTCGGGGGAGACCTCATTGTGGCCTTCCAGTACTTGAAGAGAGCGTGTAAACAGGAGAGGCAAACAACTATTTACAAGGGTGAATAGTGCTAGGACAAGGGGGAATGGTTTTAAACTGAGACAGGAGAGATTTAGGTTGGATATTAGGAGGAAGTTTTTCACACAGAGGGTGTTGATGCACTCTGGGAACACTGGGAACACATTGCCCAAGGAGGTTGTAGATGCTCCATCCCTGGAGGCATTCACAGCCAGGCTGGATGTGTCTCTGGGCAGCCTGGTCTGGTGGTTGGAGACCCTGCACACAGCAGGGGGGTTGAAACTCGATGATCATCGTGGTCCTTTTCAACCCAGGCCATTTTATGACTTCCAGGTGAATTTCATGAAAATGGGTTATTTTCTAGCCTGAGAGCCTTGCAGTTAAAGCAAAGCGAAACAAAACAAAGAAGTCACAATTCAATAGCTAATCATCATCATGGGGGTTTGATGCAATTTCTTCAGGTTCAGACTGTGTTTTGTGCTTCCAGACACTTGCAGAGTGAGGTTTGCAACACAGAATAGCTCCAGACTCTCTCCAGTCCTGTTTCTGTTGTGAGGTTTGACAAGAAAGTAACAATAAAACAAAACAAAAACAGAAGCAAACAGAACACAGCTGCTCTTTGCTGCCAGTTGTGTGCACAGGCCGTGGCAATATAAGACAGCAAAAGCAGCCCTGGAATCTGGTCGAAACCAAGGAAGGGATGGGTTGTGCCCATAGACAGGACTAGCATAGAGAACAAGAGAGCCTTTCACACGCCTTTGAATCATGTGCACTTTCTCCCAGCAGTGTGGCATTCCATTTTTTAACTAATGCTTTGTCACAGATGACCAGTCAGCTCAGTGTAATACAAAGGCAATTCCTGCTATAATGATTCGAAACGCTGTGGTTTGGAACACTAAGAGAACAATTTCATATTGCATGACTGTAAGCTCTGAGCTGCTTCCCAAAGGCCCCACTTAGCTATGGGTAATGAGGTCGAACACTTGTATTTCTACTTCCCAGCATTGTTGGGCTCTTGCACAAACCCTTCTGCTTTAATATCTAATCTCCTACTCAGGATGGTCAGCAAACAAAACCAAGGGTGGGTGCAGCAAGTGACTTCACTTATAAATTTCCTTTAAGCCAAAAGAAACAGTAATACACCTGACTGCCCCTCTGAACTGACAAATCACGTGTGCACAGCATGGCTCACGGATGTGTTTGTCACTCTTAACTAAACTAGATCTGTGATTTACAAGCACAGTTCCCTGCAGCGTTAAGGATCACCTGCGCTGTAACAGAGCACCAGTCCATGAGTCTGTGCTCGGAGAGGATTGTGGCTGCCTACACTGTTGGGACAGGCCCTCATTCACAGTGGTAGAGCCCCAGTGCCAGGCAGCAGGGGCAAGGGGCAAGTCACGGACTTGTGAGACATCAGCCGTGGGAGTGAGGGATCAGATCAGAAGCTTGAGCTACATCCACAGCTCTACTGCATTCCTGTCACCAGTTCTTTCACCCCAGATTTAAATAAATAGTCTTAGCATTTTCCTTCTTACAACAGGCATCTTTTTCTGCCTCACCAGGGCCAGTCTGCAGGCAGTATGTGAGGCAACTCGGAGATTTTAAATTGTATTATATTAAAACTCAACAAATTTAATTAATTCTCAGAGAGCTCATGTAAACCTATGGCTCAAAACAAAACAAAACAAACAAACAAAAACTAGCAAGACTGTATTATTTATGGAGTATTAATATCCTCCAAAATTAATATTGGTCATCCTATGACATACCTCTCTTTTAGCAGGTGCATAGGCATAACAGGTGCTTTGTAGCTCACTGCTATGACTGTCCTTACCAAAATAAACATTTTCAGAATTCTGAATGGTCCCAATTAAGACTGCTTTGCAACGAGTCCTGAATTTTCAAGACGTATTGGGGGTGGGTTTGAATTTCAAGGCAGGTGTCCAGCACGGCTGTGCACAGCAGCCCAGCGCAAACACTCTGTAAAGATGCTACGTTCAGCCCTCCCAGCTCATGTGCCTCCTGCAGAGCACCAGGGGACAGCGCGAATGAAGCAGTGAATAAAGCAGTTATTGGTACGTCAGTGCAGCTGACTCTCAGCCCCACAGGGAGGAGCATCTTTAAGCCTGTTTCTCAGTAATATGACATTGTGGGAATTTAGAAACGGAGACAGCCTGAGGTCATTATAACCCCCGTCCTCCCTTCCCTACGTTGCCTGCTTCTTTCCTGTTCCCTTTCATTTCAGCAATTAACATAGGAGGAACAGAAGAGGGAGCTCCCACTGCAGCGACGAGTTCTTCCTAGTAAATGGAAGGCGGATGCCTGAGCTCCTCCATGCATCAGCTACGGATTTTGAAGCACCAAAGCACTGCAGCCTAATGCCGACAGCCTAGTTTTAATTTGGGTCAGAATGTTCTCCACCCTTTTTCTCTGTATGTAGGGTATGATGGAGGAAAATGAACTGGATGACCTTTAAGGTCCCTGTCAATCCATGCCATTTTATGATTCTGTGTTTCCATGATGTCTCTCACCTGTTCCATGGCATAATGCCTTTCTGCTTTAATGATCATATCTACAATGAGGGCGTAATTGCTCCTTGAAGCCACGGCAAGTGCAGTTCTTCCATGCTGAAAGCAGAGAGAGTGAATCAGGATCATCTCATATATACAAGCATAGAACAGAGGAAACACATGAGCTGTGTTGACAAAACCCCATTCTTTTTGTGCTTTTATCCCAGTCCATCAGAGCCCACCTCAGCAATCAACACTTTGGTGTACAGGCACTTCAGTGCTTTCCACGTTTCTCTCCATAATCAGCCCTCTTCAGTGGGCCTGCACCAAGTGAAGACACCTCAGATACAAACACTCAGGCAATGTTCTTGCTAGGCATTCCAGAAAGTTAGACTGCAGAGAAGCCAACCCCTTCATTAGAAGGCTCTGCCATTAAATCATTAAATGTTTCAACTACCCAGTTACTACAGAATGCCTAATATACATGAGGAGACCAGAGGCAGCAGGAGCTCCTTAGGGCTGCATTCCCTGGGATGCTTGAACAGAATGGGGTGTCCCTGGTCCTTTGTGCTGGTGCACGTGCCATCAGCACAGCCCCAAGCTACAAAAAAAAAAAAAAAAAAAAAAAAGTAACATTAGTTTCATAAAGCTTTGCTCCAGGACAGTTTTGTGCATGGAAACTTCCTCTTCAAATGACTGAAAACCTAGATTTTGTCTGTGTTGTACTTTAATCGTATCTGAACTCAAAAGCAGCTTCTTTGCTAAAGCTATTCCAGATCACTGCAAGTTGCAGGTAAAGCAGTACAAAAAGTGAGCTTCCTTTGTAAGAATGAACACGTGGCTGCTCTCATTCCATGAAGGATGACTGGAAACATGTGCTTCCTGCGTTTCTGGGAAAGCTACATAACCCATGCATGCATGAGGAAGGTACTCTACCCTGTCCATGATCTTGAGGTCACAACCTGCCTTCAGCAGCACTTCTACCATCTCCACATTGCCAACATCAGCAGCCAAATGTAGGGGAGTTTCATGCCTCTGCAATTAAAAACATCAAATAAATACAACGAGCCAAACTCCACATAGAAGAAAAATGCACACAATTTCAATCTAGAGAAGATTCACAAGAAAACTAGAAAATACCAAACAGAAAGAAAATGTAACTCTTGAGTAACTGCTAGTTTTGTTTCAGACAGAAAAAAGAAGGAAGCATCTGGGATACCTGCAGGAAAAACAGACAGGAACTCCAGCTCAGGACAAAGCTGCCATCATGCCCCACTAATGCATCATAGCGTAAGGAACTCTTGCTCTGCCCTCTTAAAACCAGAGTTTTGGGTGGAGTGTTAAAAGCAAGTGCCAATACCCATATTATCCTCTCAAATAACCTCTTCCTGCTGAAATTCATGTAAAGACAACTGGACATCAATGATTTTTAAACAAACATGGTGCTGCAGTTCACGACAGGGCTTCTTTCTTAGCAAGCTCTGCCACACTCTGGTGATTTGGAGTGAAAAGCAGAACAGAAATCCACCTGCTGCATAAAGGAACTAATAATCCTCTAAGCGCAATAAAATAAAAATTAAAAACAAAACAAAAAGCTTTAAAATAAAGCCAAGCCCTTATGTGGAAAATACAGCTAGACGAACATTCAGCTTGTAGTCTGATCTTCATGTCTGTAATCAAGGTTTTGTCATTTCATACAGATGCATTCACCCATATTGAACTTGTTTTATTTATCCTTCCATTGAACTCCATGAAGAAACCAGGAGCATGTGCCTTGGGGAGTTCAGCAGCCTGGTGATCTGTTTCCTGTTCACAAAGAAATGTTGTCCTTTCCTGTCTTTTCTTTACTGTTTGCACTGACGGGAAACTATTCCAGCTGCTTATGGCTACAGTGCAGCAGCAAAGAAGATATGCTGTCACTTATGGAAATCTGGTGGAGCTGGACAGCTTGTTCCTCATGATACAGTGACTTTTTAAGTTGAAGGTTTTATGACCGCTGTGGTTTTGTCTGGGATTGAGTTAATTTTTCTAATAGAATCACAGAATTATAGAATCACTCAGGTTGGAAAAGACCTTAAAGATCATCGAGTCCAACCATGACCTAACCATACTACCCTAAATCTAACAACCCTCCATTAAATCATGTCCCTGAGCACCACATCCAAACGGTTTTTAAACACATCCAGTCTCCCTGGGGAGCCTATTCTAGTGCTTAACAACTCTTTCTGCGAAGAAGTGTTTCCTGATATCCAACCTAAACTTACCCAGCACCTCAATGTCCTTTCTGTACTGAGGTGCCCAAAACTGAACACAGTACTTGAGGTGAGGCGTCACCAGTGCCGAGCATAGGGGCAGGATTACTTCCTAGTCCTGCTCACCACACCATTCCTGATACAAGCCAGGATGCCATTGGCCTACCTGGCCATCTGGGCACACTGCTGGCTCATATTCAGCCGACTGTCCATCAATGCACCATGGTAATAATAATAATAATAATAATAATAATAATAGTAATAATAATAATAACCTAGTAGTTGCTGGCATGGTGTCCTGTTTTGGATTCAGAAGACAATCACCTTTGGTGACACAGTGATGTTTTAGTTATTGCAGTCCTCACTCACAGCCAAATGCTTTCCAACCTGCCCGTACATCAGGGCTGGAGGAAGGAGAGGAAGGTGCTGATCTTCCCTCTCTCCTCAGAACATCTGTCAGAGGAGAAAGGGATGAAAGGTGTGATTGCTGATTTTCTCCATGAGATGGTTTTTGGAGCACTGGGACAGCAGCCAAGTTGGTCCCAAACACCACATTAAGCTCAAGGCCTCTGTTCTTCCCATAGCTTCCAGAGGCAAAGCAAAACTGAGCAATAAACAGCACCAGGGGAGCAAAGAAGGGCTTGGCACTGTGCAGGCCCTGCTCAGCAGCAGCTGAAGCACCACTGTGTTATGAACGCTGTTTGGGGTGCAGATCCAAAACACAGCACTCTGTGGGCTGCTATAAAGACATTTAGCTTCATCCCAGCCAGATGAAGCACACTCAGACAGCAATGTACGTCCAAAGGAACAAACCTGTACTCCAAATTTATTTAGAAAACCCCAATTTTTCTTCCTATGGAGTAACCTCTGTTAGATATCATTGTTTCTTAATGAGAAAGGATAGACAGTCTCTCAAATCTAGAATGACTTTGCTAGACCAGTCTAGAACTGCCTTGAATTAGCATTAGATCAAGCTTGTGTGTACTTTACTCATTCCCAGATGAACAAGTGGAGGTAAAGAGAGACCAGGAACCGGCTGGAGTTGAATTTCTGTGTTTACCTTCAGAAAACTACACTGACAGAGTTATAGTGAGGATGCAGGAAGAAAAATAAGATTGTTCAGGTCATTGCCACTCTGCACTCGACCTACCTCTGAATTCAACTTTGAAACATTTTTGTCATTTATTATGCATGAATCATAACACTTGGACAATAAGCTAATCCAAATATTTTGGAGTATCTAACATTCTGCTGTCCATGCTTGATGCAAACACTCCTAGCACAGCATGTACCTGTGACTAACAGTATGTACACATACAAAAATACAATGAGGAAACTGCCTCTTCCTTTTTTTTGTTTTTTTTTTTTTGTTTTGTTTTGTTTTGTTTTTAAATACCTTTAGCTCACAAGCAGAAAAGAAGCAAGCAAAATTCATATAATCACCACTTAGCAGTGAAATAGTTACAAATCCCCATTTTCCTTACATGATTTAAGAAGTTTATGTCATGATTCGCTTCCAAGAGTTTTTTCACAATCAGCAGATGATTACTGATGACTGCTAAATGCAGAGGGGAATTCTTCTGCTGTGGAGAGAAAACAAGAAGTTGTTATACTCAGTGCATTCATTAAAGGTTCGTTCAAAGAAGAAAGACATTCCTGTTCCTGAGTCTATCCCTTGGCAAGGGGGTGCAGGGGTGATGAGATCCAGCAGACAGCACACCTTGGGGTATCAGGGACCACAGCTGTCACAGCAGAGAGCACCATGCTCACAGCAAGGCACCCCTTTGTACATCCGTGCCGGGATGTGCCACTGCCCCTGCTCTGTTCCTTCAGAGATTGAATGATTCTGATTTGGGCACACGGCAGTCAGAATCTACTTTCCAGAAATAAATTCTTGTACCACAGTGCTGCCGTAGTTATTCTTCATAATAACCTGACTTGCTGTAAAATTTGAAGGAAGCAAATTACAGCTAGAAAGAAATTAAGTTCTTGTATTTGAGTGATTATTCATGCAAATAATTGGGGCACTGTTCCAACACCAGTCACAATCCAACCATTAGATTGGCAAGATCACTCTTCTTGTTGAGCCTGTGACTCATCAGTTTCTCATTAAATACAGCTAAAAAGTAATTCCACGCCAGTGCCAGAAGCCAGCTTATTAGTGTTTTTAAAAACCACAACCATTTCTTTAGGGCTAGAGAGAAATAAATAAAGCTCTCACACAGAGCTGCACTGAAAATATTTCCAAAACCCAAGTTACTGTTCCATGAGTTGTTTCAGCTACAGAAAGCCAACAAAACAACCAGCAGAAATAGAGGCTGGTATTTACAATAAATCATTACAACTGCATGATACAACATGCAAGCAATCGTAGCTGATATGTCACAAAGTCTATGTCCTTCTCTTATCCAGCACTGCAGAAGTAGAAAATAACTTCTTCACAGAAAATCTTAGATGTCAGAATCTGTAATACCTGAGGAGCATCAAGATTTTAGTATCTTTTTAATCTCCTAAGAGAGAGAGATTTTGACAGCAGACGCTTTGAACACAGAGCATGAAAACACTGAAGTATATATTGACCTTTGTTCAAAATCACATAAATTGTCAACTCTCTGTCCCACGTAGGGGGCACCCATATGTGAGTGGCACATAGAGATGCCTGCATTACCACAGCTCAGTCCAAGCAGAGTGCTTTGCTCATCTTCCCACACTGCTCAGCCCTCAGTACATGCCAACTACCTCTGCATGTTGTCATACACTCACCTCAGGTTTAGGGACCAGGTCAACGTTCTTATCAATAAGAAAAGTGACCAAGGATTGATGTCCATTCTGAATGGCAGCCTCCAATGCATTGCTGTTGTTCTGAAAGAAATGTTACAGATAGCAAAAATTTACATTTCTGTTTCTGGGAAAAAGAAAAAAAATCCTACAGGCAGATATCAATCCAGAAAAGTCTTTCACTCCTATCTGTGTTACTGTATACCTCTTTCCTCTCAAAATAAGACATTTCCATTTGATGAAGCGATGGAAAATTAGGAAGAAGTCCATCAGCAACATATTTTTATGAATAGTGAAGGAACTTCCCATTGTTAGTGCAATGCAACAAGCATGCTGAAAAAAAAAAGCAGTACTCCATGGTCCCTTTTACTCTCTGTTGACTAACAGATAATTCAGCATTGTCAGCTTTGCTGAAGCACAGACTACAACACATCTCTCAGTCTGTCAGTTCAGTCTGTCCTTTAATAAGCAGCTACAGTGACATTAACACATTTAAAATCACTATTTAATTAAAAAAAAAAAAAAGAAAAGAAAATGTTCCCTTAATTCTGCTATAATAAACAAGCTCTCACTCTTGTGGAATCACGAGCATCCCTGCATACTCTTGCAGAAGGCAAGATGAAGACATTTAACACATATGAGTCTAAGAACCAGATGTGGGGAACAGATTTGTCATCAGTTCATGAATATAAGCTGCCAAAAACTAGGCTTTTCAGTTGATTTGAGGCTTGGTTCAATTTCTTAGCCACATGTTTTACTATCGGGTTGACAATAAATAAAAAAGCCTTAAAACATAATTCTATCAAACATGGAATTTTGTCTGAGCCTCATCTTCTAAACAAGTTTTGTTCAATTAACATAATTTCCATTCCCAACTTGATTATAGTTTTTACCATTTCCTAAAAAATAATCAAAGCAAAGAGACTGTCAATACACACAGAAGACAGAAGATAAAGCCCTTCCCACAGCTTGGGCTGTGCCAGCAGCAGTGTGATGAAGGGATTTTGCATACATACGTGAGTTAAAACATCAATGTTACTTCCTGCTTCCAGTAGGAGTTCAGCACATTTTTCATTACCTCTTTCAACAGACAAGTAAAATGGAGTTTCTCCATTCTAGATCAACAGAGAGAAAAAATGTCTATCCCAAATTATGCCATGTGATTATAAAGTTATGACACTAAACAGATTATCTTGATCAGTCATCCAGCTCAATAGAAAAGGGAAGATGGCAGAGAATAGAATCTGAGTGCTCTAAAACTAATACCTCAATAAAATGGTAACACATGAACAACTAAGTGATGGCTGACAACTAAGTCTGTCTATGTAGAGAAATTGTACAATACAAATAACTGTTTATTTCCAGAGAACATTACAGTCTAAAGGTGCAGAAACAAAGATGCTGGCAATCAATTGCTGCCACTCAACACCAGTTAACACCACTATCATGTTGACACATATCATAAGCGCCAGCTTATGTCAGTCCAGCGCCATGATTTCTTACCAATCCTCAAGTCAAGCTTTACCTACAAGGAGTACTTTTAATAAAAACATTTCTGCTACATGTTTATTTCACACCTCTCTGTGGAGAAGTCTTTTACTTCTCCACGGCTAGTCTCTAAAAAAAGAATATACCTGTGTAAGTGATCTGCACAGGGATCTGATCCCCATTTCGGAACTTCTACAACACATGAAGGTTTACTGAAAACCTCCCTGGTGCTTTAGAATTCACAGAGGCATTACCAACTCCTCATCTTTTCCTGCCACCATCATTTTGGCAGACACGAATGGGTCAGAGTACATAGCTTATGGTGGGATGGGAGAGACTTGGCTATGCACAGAAAGGAAGATCTCCAGATGGAGAGGCAAGTCATTTGCTCCATTAACCCTGGCCAAGCAGCACAAGCTTTGTGTGTGGAAGAAACACCTTTATTAGGCAAATCTTGGAACCATAAGAGCTTCATATTTCAAAAGGATTTCTGTGCTTCAGCCCTTCATAGATGAGGAAAAAAAGAAAAGAGAAAGAAAAAAAAGCTAGCTGGATAAAAAGGAGCCATTGTGCCCACAAGCCTTTAGCCTTTTGCTGAGAAGTGGATATCTTTTACTCCTCCTGGACTATTTCCTTCCACTAGTAAACAGGGCACATACAACACACACACACATACACAAATTAAAAATAAAAAAAAGAGAGAGAAACTCGTATGAGGAACAGAGGACAGAGCAAGAGATATGGAAGATGTTAGTAGGGCTGAACCTAATGGAGCAGAGACAATGAAACAGGATACAAACACACTGGGGAAGCAGAACTCATGAAGTCCATTCAGTGTAAAAATTATACCTTTAAAATGTTAATTTTAATTGTTTTTTTCAAATCTCTAACTTTAACTCATTGGGTAATTTATGTCCTCACCTGATTGAAGTCATTTACTTCATCCCAGTGTTTGAGCAGAATCATTACAGCTTCACTGTGGCCATTTTTAGCTGCCAGATGTAGGGCTGTGTTTCCCTCCTCGAAATTGAAATGTCAAAGGAGATATTTTAAAATTCTGAATAAACTGAAAGTTTTAAGAACTTTAAGCGTGCACTTCAACATTTGTCCTGCTTCTCTACTACTTATAAGTGGGAGGTGGAAGACCCATAGCATGTTTCAAGAACTCTCTGAAGGGAGTCTTTCTTCATGCATGCAGTTGTGACCCTTCTGGTCCAGATGGTTGCTCATGCTCTGAAAACAGCAGTGTATTACCAGGAAGGAAAAAAAAAAAAAAGGTAAAAGGAAAGAGAGAGAAAGAAAGAAAAAAGTCTCCTACACTTCTAACTCTTAAAGACTGAATCAGAATAAAACTTTGGGCTCTGGATCCTACAAGGATGGGGACTACACCATGTTTTTACCCTAGCAATGTCACAGAGGCAGAGAAATGCTAACATGCTCATTCCACAAATAACGATGTAAGGAGTAAGGAAATTTAAAGGTAGATTTTGAATATTAGCCAAGCCACCTTTAAATGTAGTGTCAAAAGCAATTTCAGTCAGATTCGGGCATTTCTGAAAAATCCCCATCAGAGCTTATTTATCTACTGAATCATTCCAAGACCTTTAATGTTAGTCACATGGGATTCTGCAGTGGTGCAGCTGAGCAGAGCAGCAAGAACTGGAGAACCTAATCTGCCAGTGCAGAGAGTGGCACCTCCAGCCCGGACTGCCCCTCTTCTTCCACCAGCCTTGCCTTGCAGGAATTACTGATGCATATGAAAAAGATACCCAGCAACAAGGCCAGAAGTTCCAATTTCTTTCCTTAATTACTGAAAAACCGTCAACGTAGTGGTAGTTGTCAGTCCAAGATATATCACTGTCAGCACCATGGCACATCTTGTTCACATTGCTTAGTTGTGTAGTTAACTATATCAAAACAAAGTAATATCCCACAAGCAAATAAGGAAACTATTACCTTATCTTTTTCGGTCGTGAACAGATTTAGAGCTATTAGATTATTTATCATGTCAGCATGGCCTCTTTCTGCTGCCAGAAGAAATGGCTTTCTACCATTCTAGAAGACAGTTTGGAAAGGAATACACTGTCATGGAAAAGAAAAATTAGCCTCCTTCCTGCTACCAGATATACAGCATATATGTGTTGCTCTCCATGAACATTTATATATGACAGAAAAGTAGGTGTATACAAGAAACATTTCTATATCATCTCTATTCTATTCTATATCACATCAGGTATAAACATGAAAAGTTAAGATTTTTTTAAAAGGCAAAAATTAAGTAGTGTAAAAAAAACCAAACATCTTTCATATTCTGAAGAAAATATTTGAAAACTGATTAGAAGTGGCAGCAAATGAGGTATAAAATGTGCTCAAAATATTCTGAATTACTCTGAATTTTGTTAAAATTAACAAAAACTTTTCCAGCTGTTTACAGCTCAGCTGTGGAAAGTTACCCTGACATAAAATAATGCCACTGGTCAGATGATGAGACCAATTGCAGATGCTAGGCAAAAGTGGCCTGTATTAAATATCTAAGCAAATGAAAATGTTTGACACTTCTGAAATAGCCTCAATATAGAGAAGAATTCTAAGATTCTAAAATGCAGAGGTTTGTTTTGCTTAACAAACTCTTGTTAATGTCAGCCTTGCCACGTGTAGACAGAGTTCAGGGCTTTGTACAATCTGGTCAATAAAATTCAAGGCTCAATAAAGAGGAGGGGGGAGCTTTGCTCTTTTGGTGGTAGATCCCAGGAGAATATTTTTTACTTACATGGGGATAAGATATCCTGCTTAGCTAAGTAAGTCCTCAAAGTGAGATTCCAGGATAACGGGCAGGAAAAACACAAGCATAGCAAACCATGAAGGCCTTGGTACTGCTGAAGAGTTGGCGCAGCTCTGTAGAATGGCTGTACATGGTCTCATGCTCTCCATTAGTGAAAGATGCCCATGTCTGCCATCCCTGGCAGGTTTAGGGGGCACAGCGTGGGAGGGTGGCAGGGATGAGCTGTGTGGAGGAGTTCAGTGACAACCTCATGCTGATCACAACAGCTTCCAGCAAGCTCCTCAGGGACAAAACCATGTGCTAGTACTCAACCCATCAGAGGAAATCATGGTACCTCTGCAAGGTATAAAAGAAATAGCAGACACTGCTACAGGTACAGTGCATAGGGAGATACCAGAGAAAACAGGAGAGAACATAGCAGGCATGAGAGGGCATGAGGTGCGCTCCCAGAGCAGCCATGCAACCCATGGAGGAGCGCTTGACAAGAAAAGAGGAAAAGAAAAGAAAACAGAATTAGCAATAAAGAAGAATTCTGTGGATTCACTCCAACCTGTATCTCACTGTCTCACTTATGGGCCTGCAGATCATGTGCAAGGAAAGCAAAGGAGCAGGGGAGGAGAGGTATCTGGAGTTCAGCAAACAGGGAGGAACGGTGCTTTCTCTATGTGCTTGTCTGGCCGTTTGTCTTATTTATTTCTCAGTACCCAAAACTGCAAAACTGGTAATGAAAACTTCATATAGGTTGCCATAAATTTAAATTCATTGAAAAGCCAAAGTTGAGATTGTTTTGCCCACAACAGTTTCCTCATGACATCAAAGAAATCAGAAAAGCACATACTGTACCCCATCAGGCTTGTTCAAGTCAGTCAGATGAAGATCTTGGAGAAAATAATCAATTATTTTAACACTGTTGTTCTGTGCTGCAAAGTGTAGTGCATTCATTTCTTCCTGAAAAACCACAAGCATGTCTGTAAGTGCAGGTTTGATCATTACCCACCGTCAACATAATTAGAGTTGGTAGAAACCTGTCATCAACACACCTCATTCTTAGCTTTTTGATCAGCACCAGCTTTAACTAATTTCCTCATTATATCCAGATTTCCAGTCCAAGCTGCAAGATGGATCACTGTCAGGCCATGCTTTCAAAAAATAAATGAAAAAAAGAAATTAAAAAGGCAGAAATTACCAAACAAAACCCCTTCTGTCAAATTCATTTTAATCTTTTTGATTAATATAGTGTAAGAGTTGGTTTTGCTCCACGGGCTCTAGAAGATCAGCACTATCACCTGACAGTGTGATTGGGATTCACCTCACTTAAATTACACTAAAAGTTCAGGCTGTCTCTCTCCTTGGCAGAAGATCTGGCATCTCTTCAAAAGGATTAATCCTGTTGTGAAATGAAGCAATTCCTGAAAAGTTTCTCTCCAAAAACTGACTAATGACCTGAAGTAGTTAGCTCTGGGTGCAGTAGATGACATTTCAGGTAATAATACATAAGAAGAGCATTTCCGTGAGTCACTGTGATTTTCCAGTTAGTTCTTCTTTCAAATTACTCTTAAGAATTTTTCTCTTTCAGAAAAACAGCCAATCAAACAAGCAAACAACTCTTCCTGTCATTAATATCTTAGAGCCAAAAGAAAAAGAGAGAAGCATCTTTCAGCCAGAAGAAAGCCAGAATCCTCTTTGTCTCCTGTTTTGGTCATAGTTCTACTCTTCAGTGTTTCCACTTCTCTTCCTGTTTCTGTGTATTCTGCACCCAGGTGCAGCATCATAAATAGCAGCTCGTTCTGTTATGTGCTGGGTGTAAGCACAAAACTCAGAAGACATTCAAAATCTGGCTTAAAAGCACCTGAACCCTTAGATAGTCAGAGGAACGTAAAGGTGGCAAAACGGAGCAAGATAATTCTTTCACAGCTATCATCCTTCCCCAGTTTCTCGCCCATAAATGAGGAATCAGTAGGTTGACTCCTATCTGTAATCCAAGCCTTATCCATAGGTGTCTTACAAGAGGTCTACCAAGATCCTGTAGAACGTCAGAGTCATCATACCTACACTTCATCTACTATGTAAAAACAACACAGAAATACATTAACTCATCTAAGACTACTATAGAAAAAAAAAAAAAGGTTGCAGTCATGAATCTTGCTTTGGCTAAACACACTTGTGTATTTAATTGGAATTGAATCTGGCCAGAAATGCCAAGGGCAACAAAAAGATTTTCCAGAAGTACCTCAATGACAAAAGGAAGACTAAGGAAATGGGAGTTTTGCTGAATTGAGACAGAGAACGGTGAAAGGCTGAGGCAGTGAAAGCCTTCTTTGCTTCAGCCTGCACCAGCAGGGCTGGCCTTCAGAAATTCCAAGTCAGAGGCCAGGCTGAGTAGCTGGATAGCAAAACAAGTACCGTTGGTGGAAGAGAATGCCGGTAAAACCACCACTGGGTGTTTTTTATCAGCTTGCTTTTTGTATTATGTTAAGAATGTTTACAATCCTGCACTAGCATAAAAAGAAGTCAGAAACTAAAACAGAGTAAGAACTAAAGTCACAGTATGTTCACTCTAATATGTACCCACTGCAATATCAAATTGGTTGCCAAAGAGTTCATGAATCACTGTCAAATAAAATACATATTGTCTTAACTGGCTTCAATGCATCCTACCAGACAGTAAAAGACCTATAATTACACTTTGCAGCATCTTACTGCCTCAACAAACACAGGAGAGAGTCACTGAAAAAGAGTTTTCCACAGAGAAGCAGTGCCTTCATTCTGTATGTGAGTATTTGCGGGCTGGGCAGCACAAGGCCATGAACCTGAGCTACTGGAACAGAGACAGACAGTAGGCAGCTTTCCTGTTCAGCAGAACAAATGCCAAAACGAGATGCTGGCACAGTCTCTCACATCTTGTTTCTCATATCTTGTTTCCATTCCAACACAGAGTAACAAGAAAACTTTCTCCCTTCTGCCCACTCGTCCAGCCTGGAATTTTTCTTTCTCACAGTGTAAACACTGCAGCATATGCAGGGTAAGGAGAGAGAGGCAAAGCAGGAAAAAAAATGGTGAATGACTCATCTGATTTTCATTATTCAGGATGAAATACAAAGATAGGTAAGTAAATAACTGAACAAATAAGTTCTCTGGAAACAAATTACAGCTCACTGGAAAACTCCTAGCTTGCACAGTCTGATCATTAATAACATACCATACATTTGATTTTAACATCTGAATCAAATCCTGCACTATGAATCCCTGTCGGGCCCAAGGAAAACTGAACCATACACTGCTCAGCTCTTCAAGTCCTGGAGGGTGCAGAATAGCTGACAGTTGTGCATTAAGCTGCTCACTCACAAAAGAATGGAGGAAGGGAATGCAAGCAGTCATTCTCTGGAATCCCACTAATACCCAGATCTAATTTTTATTTTCAGAGTTTGTTTTAATATACAGATGGCTATTAAATTAATCCTATACAAGTGTGATTGAATATGAAGCTGCCACAGATACAGGGGAACTTACCTGATCTGCCATATCAACTCTAGCTTTGTGATGGAGCAGAAAATCCACCGCAGACGTGTGACTTCCTGCAACAGCAAAATGCAGTGCAGTGCGCTTCAACTGCAATAAGCAAAGCTTTGGCTATCAGATCCGTAATGATATTCTTTTTATTGCAAACACCAGGATTTCTGAATTATTTGATTATAAATAACTATAGTGGTTATTATACATATACATTTGCATAGTTCCCCCTGCAGCTAGGTCTGCATTGGTCTTGGTATTTTTGTTCCTTTGGAGATCATTTACACATTGATCATAAAAATTTCATAGAGAACCAGAACGGTTTATTTACTGAAGTTACTGTATATGGCAACACGACCCCTCCTCTGAAATGCACTGTCAGACTGGGTCTAAGTAATCGCACACCACCTAGAGGAGATATATGCAATGCCTGAAACATCTTTGTTACACAATTCAATATGAAGATTTGAGGTCTGGATTTACACAATTATCTCCACTTTTCATATTTTCCTTGCTTTATTCTGTATGCCTGCAACACATGAGAGAATTCCTCCCTCTGTCAGTACTGAGTCACCTTCACAGAATGAGACATTACTTATGCAAATAAAGTCTCCCACCTTGCAAACAGAGTAATTTTTAATAGTGCAAGGTTTATCAGAAACAATTTTTCATTGCAGTAACTGACAGTGTGAACTTAAAAGGGATTGGTTAAAATGAATTAAGCCTCAGTGGAAAGAATTTCCCTTTAATTACAGTGACCATAATTGGGTTTAACGTAATTCACTTAGAGTTTCCATGTGACTTAACCAATTAATTTTAAAAGTCAGTTTGGATTTGTTCTGTGCAGATCAGCTGTTTCAGCTCTTCACCCACAGCTATACAAGTTAAAGACAAACAGGTGGGATTTGTGCCAGGAAAAGCTTCTTACACAGGAATAGTTTTATCAGCAGAACTTGGCTTTTGGCAGACTTGCTTATTTGGCTTGGAAGTACAATGAGTGGAAAAAATCAACAGAAATCCAAGAACTGCTTTGCCAGCATAAACTAAGTGCCTACTAGGAGCATCAGTCAATGCACAACAGCCAAGCACCTCTGCTAGTAAATCTCACACTATAGACTTAAGAACAAGAGTGAAGATTCAGGGTACTGGACTGGAACAGTATTTAGTTCAATTCCCTGAATTCTAGAAAGCAAAAAGGAGTGGCTGGGTTCTGTGGTCACCTGCTAAATATTTACAGAAGTATGTAGTGAATGGGAACTCTGTCATTTTTCTGGAGAAACTTACTCCAAAGAAGTCTTTGTCTCCATTCTCTTTTTCACAGAGAAAACTAGGAATGCAGCTCTATACTCTCCTCAATTTCCCAGTGGGGAAAAATGCTTGTGAGCTTGGGCAGCAGGATTTCTGCTTCCATGAGTTAGTAAGGTGAGGACATTCATGGGCAGAGGATTTGTAGATAGCTACAGAGAGCTCCCAGTTCTCCACAACTCCCAGACCATTGCACTGCTGTTCAATTACCTCTAATGCACAGCACTTTATTTTTATCACTGTGAACATCATGTCCTTAGATTCTGTCAGTGTAAGAAATCCATTTTTGTCCATTTACGGCAAATCTGAATTCTGTTCTCAACCTGCAAGCAGAAGCTGTGGTAGAACGCTTCTGTGGTTCACTGAGCAATAGTGCTTCACACCACCATGTGAAGTCTGTGGTGTTAACAGCACAAATTCATTCTCAGAGTGACTGTGGGGTTAAGTCTTCCCACCTGAAAGATGGAGAACTCAAGGAATTATAGAGGAAGACAGTCCATATTAGAGCAGTGACCGCTATTTGGAAGTCCTTAAATTAAAAGACCTGAGAGTTACGCTCTGTGAAACTCTTCAGCCTGTACCAGACATGTGGAACACTGCTTAACCACATCCAAGAAGGGGACTTGTTCAGCACCAGCACCCTGGGCTTCCGCTATGCAACCCCCCAGGCATCACATTTCTGACATACTGTACTCACAGGATCCACTGCGTTTATATTAAGGTTCTTCTTAAACAGCTTTTCCATGGTTTCCAAATTGTTCATTTTAGCTGCGTGTTGAAATTCTCTCTCATCTGGCAATACTGTGGAAAGGCATGGAACATGCAAAAAAAAAAAAAAAATATATATATATATATAACAAAAAGAATAGCCGTACCAAATTCAAGGGATTGATATTATTCTTACCTTCTGGTCCTTGTCCTGATTTCACACATGCTGTGAATCACTTTTTTTCTCATCATAGAAACATTTCAGGACTGCACTTTTTCCTTCCAGAGGTAGCTGGCTGATGTTTATCAACTTTTAAGTGCGAACAGAAGTGGGCTTTTTACATCACAGGCTATTATTATTTACTCTGCTCACAGGAACAAGAGGTTCATTTGTGAAGTGCCTGTCGTCTAAATGCGTCTCAAGGCCTTTTATAAGCCCAACAGTGAACATCATGAACTGCAGCACTTTGGTTCTATTCTTGGAAAAATCACTATTTTACAATAAAGCATACCACCAAAATACGTAAAAATGTATAGCAGTGACAAAATGACTTGCCTCAGCTGGGAACAAGTGGTTCATTCAGAGGATTGAAAAAAAAAAAAAAAGAGAGAGAGAGAGAAGGTGAAAAAGAAGATTGAACTTAAACCCAAAATCTGATCACAATGAGGGATTTACTATTAAGCCAGGACCTGGCTTTAATGCCTTAATGAAAAAATAGAACATCTATTTGGTTGACTAAAAGTAGATGCAGCATACATTTGGACTACTGTAACAAAATATTTAATATGTATTTGGAAAGTAAAATTCCAGAGCCTGACAACCAGTTAAGCTAACTTACAGGTACAAGTATTTCTCCACCAGTACATTTCTGCCTTAACTTTTAATTCAGTACTTGGGAGAAATGAGGGTATCAAATGCAGTAAGATATTCTTAATTTAGTAGCAGATCACACTCAAGAAGTTAATCACTTGGATATCTAGAATGTTTTGGCCTGAAAGCTGGAAGGCCGCTTGTCTAATGATACCAACAAAGAAAGCAGCATTCTCTGATGAACTAGAAATTGCATCAGCAATTAGTTCCTCGGGGGTCTCTCATCTAAATTTATTAACATCTAATGAGATATAGCTCGTGGCTGTATGACTGGAGAAAATACCACAGAAAATTGGTGTGGCATTCACTTAATTGAATCCTATACGTTATCTATTATTATAATCTCAGTGGAATAAGCACAGCAGTATTGTTCAAACAACTAGAAATTAAACTGGATGGTTCCAAAACTCTTTCCAGCTTTCCTATGATATGACATTATGCAAGTTCCTCATACAACAGAAGCATCCTCCTAGATTCTCTGGTAATCACAGGACAGATTTTCTTTTACAAAATGAGAAAGCAGTCACAAATAAAAATGCACCAGAGGACTAGAATAGTTAAATACTAATGTTTCTATAGACCTTAGTATTAGATTTCAAGTATTAAAAGAAATAGCCAATTTTCATATAGAATAGCACCATTTTATTACAAGATTTTGCCTTGTCCCTTTGCTCCAATATTCCACCTCTAGCAGTGGCTAACAGAAGACCCAAAGGGAATAGATGAGAATAAATGCCTCACTTATAGTTTTTATACTGTACAGCCAGAAAGAATTATTTCCATTGCTTTGACTCCAACTATGGTAAACCAATGGTTGCAGGATATCTTGTTCAAAGCAAGCATGGAAACAGGACTTTGGGCATCAGATAACTGCAATTAGTTTGGCCATATTCATTCCCACTGGCTGCTGGTAAACATTTCAATGAAGACGTAAAACATGTAGATGCAAAGATGAGCACTGCTGCTTTCCAGGGCATTCAGGAATAATCCTAGCAGTTTACTGCCCTCAGGAAACAAGAAAAAGCAGTGCTCTGTTACTGTATTTGTGCAGTAAGAAGAATTTTGATTTAGCTCTGACAAAGAATCAATTAGCGATCTCTCCTCTCCTGTTTGGAAGTCATAAACTGGATGCATGTTTTTAAAATGAGTCTTTTTGTTTGCTCAGGACACGGTGTTTCTTAACAGCCCCTCTCAATACATCCTAATTTGAGATTTAGGAATAGCAGCAGTTTATGTGCACTACTGTGCTCACTTTACGCTCGGTTTTCTACAGCTTTTGCAAAATGATTTATTTTCATGCATGAAATTACAAGAGCTGTTAGACCATAGATTTATGGAAGATTTCTTCTTAATCTGCATCATCCAGAATTTGGCAGACCTTGAACTATTACCCTCACTTGATTTTCAAGCACTAGCAGCCATCTGCCACCCTTCTGCAGCCTTCAGTCTTTTCTGAGGGGTCATTTCCCTGGACTCTCCCAAGCAGTTTTACTGAATGCCCTGCGGTTTTCATTAAAATAGTTACATTTTATTTTCACTTTTACTTTTGAGCTGACCAAAAATACTAATTTTGTCAGCTGACTTCCTCCATAGGGACAGAATGCATAGTAGAATTTAGTCTAGTTGTAATGTAACTGCAGTTTAATGTGCTGAATATCCCAGTCTGTCTCCTCTTTTAGAAGGACAAGGAAATAAAATGATGCAGAAAATGTGAACTGCCTTATCAACTGGAAAACAGGAAGTCCCCCTTACAGAAAGTCAGATTTTGAAACACTTTCAATTTTAATTTCTTCACATTCAAGTCTTATTTTACTGTAAGGGGCTTTGATCCATTTATGAGTAGCAGAACAACAAAGGATATAAACTGAGTCAGAAAGTGAACCAGTGGAATCAGTGTTTATAGAAAAGTTTATAAGGAGTCTAAACACTAAGTCTTTCCACATTTTCCCCTATTTCTAAATTTCTTTTGTAATATCCACAATAAGAATCTGTCAGTACCTTGAAAAGAACATGGAGAAAATAGAAATCTGAATTGGCTGAGCAATTTTATGGAAAATACAAAAATATCAACAAATAGATTTGAAGTATTTTCATTCTACCGTTCCTAAAAATTAATTATACTTGCTGGCATGGTAACATTTTCTCTTTCAATAACCTACTGACATTTTTATGTTTGTTATCATAAACAAAATGACTAGCATAGAGGTTTTGTAAAGTCACGAGAATGATAAAACAATCCTTTTTCCATTTCAAAGAAGTCATGAGAAGACTGCGTACAGCATCCAACAGTGATATTTCATTCATTGCTTATCTTCACCTACCCTTTTTGCAAGACTGGAAACAGGAAGCATGACCCAGAACAGATTTCAGTGATTATCACATTGAAATCACAGGACACGTTCACAGTACGGCTTAATAATTACCGTTCAGTTTCCACAAATAACCTGTTCTCACTATCTGCAGCCCACGCCATAGCAGACTGTTCTGTGAGAGACCAGTTTGCAGTCTCAAGTCTGCCATCAGAGTGAGTCACACCACTGTGTGCAATGAGACCAGAACTTCCTCCGAGTGCTACGTGCCCCGTCCAGCACAGAAGTGTGACTTGGTTATGAAACTTTCCATGTGCCTGAGCTCAAGCATGTGGCTAACCCTAGTGAACCCATTCAGACAACTGCAGGAGTGCACTTAAAGCAGAGTGCCAGGCAGGCCAGCCTCTTGCAAGACGGATGCATCAAACCCCAAAATGTAATTTCACATCTACAGCTCCAGATTTCCTCACAGGATACACTGGGCTGCTGAGTGAAAGCTAGACCTGGCATTACCCCCCACACACTCACAGCTGTTGTGGTTGGCTGCTGCATCTCCGTGCGCTGTGTCCTCCCTGACACGAAACAGGTGGCTCAGTCCCTTCATTGTGGCTGTCAGCTCCTCTTCTCCCCACCTGCAGGAAGGGGCCCCATGCAGCCCTGTAGAGGGAGGTGCCCTTGGCTTGCCTGGAGTGTGTTTCCTTGCTGCACTGAAAAACCGGTTCGCAGGGATTGAAGTTGACTTAAACACACCCAGCCAGGCCATGGGCTCCACTCCACTGCTGCGTGCAGCAGCACACCGTCACTCAGCCCCATCAGCAGCTGCAGGCCGCTTTGGGAAAAATTGCTCTTGGAATTATTCCATTTTAGATCATCACCAGTTAGGAGAGTCCCCTGCAAGCACGGCATGCTCTTGGGACACGAGAGACAGAAACGGCCTAATTTGGACAGAAACAGGAGCATGTGGTACAGTGATAGAGGCCATTGGAATTAATCCAGTCACAAGACTTTAGGTTTGTTTTCAGAGAACATTTTTACATGTTTTTTTGTCCAAGTCCAGTCAAAACCAATACATCAATATGGCAGTTTTAGTGGATCGCCATATTGAGATCTTTCTAATTAGGAAATTCTCATTAATCTTGAATTCCAGGTCCACAGTTACTTTCGTTTACTTACACCAGCACAGCACGGATTATTTCATTTCATGCAGACAGTCACTGCCTGAGATAGGGCAGAAAAATTGCTGTCTTTCAAAGCGATTGGGTCAAATTTTGCTTTAAAAGCAGTAGCTGGCATTCCTAGCATTATTTTAAAATTAAAATTAGAAAAGTAGCTCAAAGAATGCAGAACTATTACTAGTCAGCCTTACGCAACTTGAGTTCCTTCAATGTGATTTTTTCTTTGTAACTTGAACAGTCCATGATTATTAACACTGTATGTGTTGATGGCAAATTTGATGTGAAAGACTCAAAATATTTAGCCCATCACACACTCTCAGTTTCTTCCTGTGAGTCAAGCATTGCAGTGAAACTTCTTAAGAGGAAGGAGGTTTATTTCTGTGCGCCCACTGGGTAGGTAGTACAGCCTCACAGCTGGCAACATTAATCCTCTTTTTCCAAAATGAGGCAACAAACAACTTTATGATTACTAGATTCAGCACATACAACTGGTCCCAAAGGAAGAAACACAAGTTATAGCAGAAATCTTTAAACTATTAGGATCATGATTTCAGACAGAGTCTGTAAACAGCTGTTAGTTCCACTTACTAATTGTTATCAGACAATCTCATTTCACAGTGTATCCCTCAGCTCTCTTAACTAACGTTCCCAGTACAGCAATACGTTATGCACCCAAACTCTGCAGATAGTAAGTTCACCACATTCTCTAACCACTTCCCACAGTACTGACTTTCAAATGGCCCCAGCAACCTGCAGAAAAGGCTGATGCAGAATCTGAAAACTCAGAATCCATTAAAAAGTGCAGAGCAAGCAACTACTGGAACATTTCTTTTACTTGCAGACTCCTCACAGACTCCTCACAGACTCCTCTGCCCATGAGCTAAGAACAGAACAAACTCTGAGCATCTTTTTGTTTAAAAAAAACTACAAAAAGCCAAGAAACAGTACTTTTTAATTAAAATAAAATAATGGTACAGTTAAAAATTCATAAACAAGTGGAACCATTATGAAGAAAAAAGGTAAGACAAGCACATGTTGAATAGTACATAAAGAACAAGCAAAAATTTCACTCTAAATGCTAAGACTTTAAAAGCTAGAAACAAGAAAGCAACTACTATCTTCTTATTAAGTTGTATATTACACTCTGTTTTTGGAATCTACAGTTTCCAAGTTACCTGGTGCACGAACTGTTGGTCTATGCAACTTCAGCACCTTACAGTTACACTCTCTCCTTCCCTCATCTTCTATTGCTACAGCTACCGGCTGCAGCTTGCCTTTGGTTTGGATTACTAATAAGGACAACTAAATGTAGATGCTCAAACTGAACAGGTGCTCACATACAAAAATGGAAATAAGAAAATGTATGCAAGATCCCCAGACAAACAGCTGGTAAAAAAAAACTTTAGCATCTGCAGGCTGTTCCTTAGGCTCCCTCACAGGTTGTTCCTAATGGTTTCAGCAGTTCAGTCTCTTCACTGGATCTGCATACTGCAGTGTAAGAGAGACAGGGACATGATAAACCTGTAATAACTCCCAGCACGGATCAAGCTGCCGTCAGAGCAACTCAAGCCCGAACTCCATGCTGCTGATGTTCCTGTCTACAGAATTACAACATGGAAATTCAGCAACTTCAAAAACAAAATGGCATGAACAAAAGTATTTATTTATTCCCAGTAGAACATTTCTAAAAATAAGGACTGAGATGTCCAAGCCAGACAACTAATAAAAAAATAGGTCATCCAACCACTGTAAGACATTCTGCATATAAGGTATTCCAAAATCTGAAAGTATGTAAAGATATTACAACAGCAGTAAACAGATTAAATAAGAGAATGCTGCTCTACAGTCTGTGTTTCTAAGGATTGAGAATTTACAAGATAAACTCAAGAAAGTCTTGTTTTTAAGAGGGACATCTCCGTAATTGTTCCACTGAGGGCAAGCATGTTTCTCACAGATAAATGTTTTGTGCATCCCTTTCTTCAGAAGTAGTGAAAAATGTTAAGATCACAGAAATGCCATCCTATTCTCTATTGTCCATAAGTAGAAAAGGAATTCAAGATTATTTCACACAGAATGGCTTGGGTTACAAGTGACCTTAAAGACTATCCAGTTCCAATCTCCCTGCTATGGGCAGGGATTCCACCCACCAGATCAGGTTGCCCAGGGCCCCATTCAGTCTGGCCTTGAATTCCTCCAGAGATGGGGCATCTACAGGTCCTCTGGGCAGCCTCACCTCTGGGAGCCTCACCGTCCTCCAAGTACAGAGTTTTCTCCTAACACCTAACCCTCTCCCTGCTGACACCCCTCTTTTGATGCAACCCCGGGTACTGCTGGTCTTCCGGGCTGAAAGTGCACACTGCTGAGTCATGTCCAAGTTCTTCTTCTTCTATCACTCTATACACATCTACCTTAAATAAGTGAGAAAATCCTCATCTGCAGCCGTCCTAGATCATTGATGTGCTTCAAGACTGTAAATATAGGAAGTGTGGAATGGTTCACACAGGAAACAATTTACACGTTAAGTTAGAAACATGCAAGTTATGAAGACTTTCCAGATGCAAGTTAAAACAGAGTTTAGTTAACTGCAGTTATTACCAACGGACAGCACAGTAACAGCCAGAGAAATATGCTAAACAAAAACACTGCTACCACAGCTTTCACAAGAACTGAGAAGAAATTATTGCATCACAAGTTTCTGACAGTACTTTATCCTGAACAGAAGGACTTCTTTAGATAGGAACAGTAACAAAAGTGGCATAAGAAAGCATCTGAGAGATGATTTAGAAGGACTAGGCACTTTCCTTATACATACAAAGCAACCTTTCCAGATGGGTACATTTCACGCGTCATTTCAAAAGACAGACACTTCTGGATTTCGAATCACATGGGCTTTATTTCCACATTAAATCTAACATACTCCATAATTTTAACTTTATGATACTTAGAAACAAATCTGTGACAGCTTTTTAAAAACAGATGATAGTTTTCCAAGCTAAGCTAGACTAGCTTCATTTTTCCAAGCACTCAGGAATTGTCTTTTTCGCTAAGTAAAGGACATGCAAAATAGCAAACTTTAAATAAACACGCACATTGGTAAGTTACCTTGGATTCTACACTTCATTAAATTAGACATATGTAAATCAATAAAGGGACAGGCACTCTTTCTTTCTTTTTTTTTTTTTAAACAGTACTCACTGCTCCTTCAGCTGTTTTAATGTCTCTCCTACCAGAAATTTCCAGCTCCCCCCTCTGTCAGCAGAACAGCTAATGCTGACTGCTCACTGACTTTGTTTGCACAAGGTCAGCTGTCAGACTGCAGAATAATATGAACTAGCCTAGCTTATTTTGTCCAGAGCAGATTAAGGAGCACTGAATTCAAATTACAGATCTGCAGGTACAGTGGCACCTGGCAGGTAAGAGATATTGAAATTATTACTGAAAATCTGGAAGTGAAAAGATAGGTACATTCTGGATTTAGCCTAAGCACCAAAAATACATATTTATATATATATAAAAAAAAAAAAAGTAAGTCACAGAATAATCCCCATATAATTAAGCAACGGAACAGAAGCTTCTATCATAGCCACTTTAAAGATTATCCACTTTTAAAAGTTCATATTTCTTCAAGGGTTTGTGACTGTACACATAACTTCTAAGAAAGAAGCTATCGTCATAAATCAACTACAAAAAATCTAAATCTAAGCAATTTAGTGTAAACAGAAGAATATCATTATAGAGTACTTCAAATATTTGAACTTTAAAACTTCCACTTGAGTACTCATAAAATACAATTTATTTAAAAATAGAAAACAATTTTAAGTAAAGATAGATAAACAGTAAGAATACTTCATTTTAGCATATTGCACATATTTATACAACATTATTATTGCACACTGATTTATATTAAATTTAGCCCTACCAACAGGTACAATTTAACAACAGCAAAGACAACTGAAGTTCTCAGTCCCCTTGGAGAGGTCAAGGATCAAACAGCATTTGTTCAACTAATCTGGAAGAATCCTCTAATCATCCAGTTTATTAACATTTTTAGTATCAAGCAAAGGCATCCTGCATCTCACCACAGAGAGCCCTTCAGGGTGGGTCCATCACCTCATACTGAAGTAATTTTCAGTGATAACAATAAAAGCTTGGCTGTGCTCTGAATTCTTCTTTTTTGACCAACCAGTTTTTGGTCCAGTAACAAGACAGACCTTCACAAGATCTGAAATGAAGTAGCTTGGCTCTTCTATGTTATCACACAAATTAATTTGGTGTTTGATTGTCCAAGGAAGTATTAACTTGAGCAACTACGGTTGCTAACTCACTGCCTTGCAGACAGGGTGACAGATCAAATCTTTGAAGGGGGACATCAACAAGCACAATGTGACATTCCACCTCATGAGACCCTCTTTCTCAGGTGCTTGCCATGCAGATCTGCTCCATGGCAGCTCTAATGAACCTGTTTTATTTTGTTGAACAGCAGAGACAATACATGAGACTGCATGTGACTCTAACAAAGTTTCACATGTTCAATATAACAGAACTCTTAAGTGCTAGCAATTTCATTTCTCATAAGCTTAAAAAGTATTATTTTCCAAAAAATTGGATTACCTCAGTTATATCTCTTCTTCTACCTCACATATCATTCTTTTTACAGAGCATGATAAGCATACAATGGCTCCGATGTGAATCCAGCCAAATTTCATCTGAATCCAGCCCACCACCAATGCTAAATTAATATGCAGTCATAAAAGGCTATGAAATACTTCATATGAAGTACACTGCTCCACTGTCATTTAAAAAACATTTCAATTGTATGCTTGGAATTGATTGATTTAGCCTTTTTTGATGCTGACTGTGAAGTTGTTAGTCCAGACCTAAAAGTAAAAATAAAATTAATATATATGTATACAATAGATATTTATAGAACACTAAAACTGTTTTTTTTCTTAACTTCAATACTTTAAAATATGAGTTGAGTACTTAGTTTTCAGAATAACCTTACCTTTTTGTTCCTTGTAATGGTTTTGTGCACTGCTGCCTTCTGTCTAACCCTCCTGAGGAGTAATTGGAAACAATAAAAATGTATTACTTCAGTAAATTAAGAACAATGCAGAAATCATATACATAGCAGAACTTTTGCAAGAGCAGTTTTGGATAAAGATTTTCCTTTTTTTTTTTTTTTTTAATTCGATAATACTGGAACTGAATCTGGCCAATGGTTAACGCTTCATTAAAAAGAGAAACTACTTGAGTAAACAGGCTATGGGTTTAGCATGTTGTGGGTACAGCTACAGGACAAATTTTACTGGAAGAACATCACATTAGCAGTGCCTGCCTTTATGCTCACAACCTCTGTTTTAGCCAGCACATTAATTAAACTTTTCTGTCAACTGAACCTCTGAAATGATCTAGATTAATGACATTTTCAGTAATTTTCACCTAAATTTCAGTAATCTCAGAAACACCAATCTGATTATGGTTACAAGGGAGCAGACAGGATTTACAGAAATGACAAGTAATTCCTACATTACCACTGCTGCAAATTAGAGTGCACTATGTAACTAACACCTCATTCAGAAACCTTGTTTGTCAATAAAACTGATCTGACATCTTTTAAATAGAGGTGTTTTCTCTCACACAGATATTACTCCAATGAATATCTTGAAATGTCTTGAAAAGTTAAAAGTGTACAGCTACAACTATAGATTATTGGCATTACACAAGTAGATAATGTGAATAACCAAAGATATCTTAATGTGCCTACTCACCAACTCTGATTGAATTTTCTGTTTCAGAAGTCTTAGCAGAACAATCATCTTTTTCTGTCAGCTCCTGGATAAGGCCTTTGTTTAAGCAGACATCTACATGTCTGTTAAATGACACAAGGCTGGTGGTTTTCTGTTCTGAATTACAAACTGGACAAACAAGAACACTGTCTTCTTTGGTTTCAAAAGAACAGGATGAACTGGCTCCTTCTGTATGATCTGTCCTTCCAAACTGTTTTGCATTCTCCTGTGAATTTCTTTTGGGAAACAGACATTGTTTTATGCTTGCATTTCTAGGAATATCAATGAGATCACAAGGCTGTTTTTCTCTGTGAGGTTTCTCTGAGACTATCTGAGTGAATTTTTTCTCTTTGCTATTGCCAGAAGAGTTTTCAGATGTACTTGCTGACTGGTCTGTTCCTGCTAATTGATCTGTTGTTATATTTTCTTTACAATCGTCAATATTTTCATTTTTGCAGTGTGATAAGAAGTTAGAAGTATTTTCTCTTGAAATGTCATTTTTTGATATTTCCACAGTATCTTTAACTAGACTGCCAGCAAGACATTCATCAATATGCCTATTAATCTCTTCCAAATTAACACTACTTTGCTCCTCAAAACAAACAGGGCACGTGAAGATCTCACATATGTTAGACTTCTGCAAGTTTGTGACCTTGTTTGCTTCTTCCACAAAATCTGCTGATGAGTTTACACCACAAAAGTGCTGCTTACCTACACTTTCATTTGGAAAAACATTATTATTACAGTTTAGTTGCCTTGCAGCCCGCTTTTTATCAAAAAAACTTCCTTTGGAAGATGCTTCTGAGGTTTTTGTGAGATTTTCTTGATTGGGTTTCCCTGGCTGAAGCCTTGGAAAATCAAGTTCTTTTCCTGATTTTAAGAAGCTTTTAATGCTTTTTTGTTGGTATTTCTTCTCTTCTTCACTTAGAAATCCTGATACTCGTACACCTAATGAACAAAAAAAGTTGTTACAATTTTAAATATGAACATTTTTAAAATTTGATACTTACTTAGCACCTTTTTGAGGTGAACATTCACTCAATGTAAGTATGTTTTTCCCCATAAAGAGAGGTTAAGGAGCCTGCAAATGCTAACAACACATCACGAGATACATGCACTTCTATCAGACCTGAAAACTTGTCCAACTTTATTTTTAATTTTAATACCCCAAAGTATTAACTCCTTGTATGATAACGTGAGGCTATAAACTTAACACAGTTATATAAAATTCAGTCCAAAAGACAGATTCACATCAAGTTTCCCCATCAAATTATTTTTTTTCCCTTCAGCACATTCTGATATTATAGACAACTAGATTTTATACTTTATTGAATGACTCACACCCAAAATCACAGGCCTTAGAATCAAAATACAGAATTAATTTTGACAGAATTTTTCAAATTTCTCACAGAACTTAGCATCTTCAAATTTCTAAGCAGTTCTATTTAATGTATTTGTTACTAAAAGGGGTTATGTATGGAAGTAAATTGTTGCTGCAAGGCAAAGCATATTTAAAAACCTTTTTAAGGCCGCAGAATTAAGAACTGCAATGCAGTTAAGATTCTACTCTCCTGCCAATGTTTATATTGTTCCAGAACTATCAGGTAGTAAGAAAGGTACAGCTTCAATTAGTAAGACATTCCAGAGTTACTACTCAGCACTCCAGAGCCATTTCACTTTGCAAAAACCACTGGGGTAATGGAGAAAGGATAAATCCATTTATATTATATAAAGGTTTACTTTAGAAGACAGTCCATTATTTCCATATGCTATGTGATCTAATTCTGAAAAAAGTTTTACCCATAAGTCTTATCCTTAAAGGGTGAGGAGCAACACTATCAATTTCCGTTCCTAACAACATCTTTGCAACAGCAAATATTTCATCCTCAGCAGAAACAGAAGACAGCACAGTTGAAGCTCTTGTTTTCACTTCAAAGTTCACATTCTTTAGCTTTAAGGTAACAGTTTTACCCTATTAAAAAAAAAAAAACAAAAACAAAAACAAAAACCAGTTATACGTATCTTATATGGCACACACAGAAATACAAACACAGCACCTCTGTAAGGGCCTTAACGCCACAGTCAAGACCTTCTTTTCGTCTGTGTGCAGTAAGAGTTACTGCCAAAAATTTATTGGTAAGATTTAACACTTGCTCTTAAACTACTGCCAAAATAAAATTTTCTAAAATAGGTCAGTTGGCAATGGTCCCCAGAAGACTTCTGCCAACAGTGCATGTGGCTGCAGGCACAACATCTACGTGGTCTACTAAAAATTATTTCCTCGCTCAGAAACTTTCAGCACCAGGTATCTAAGTTTTGCTGGGAAAACTATTAAGGATGTGTAAGTAATACCCTATTAAGGATCCTTCCTCAGTGTTGTCAGAGCAACACATAACACCTCTGTTCGGCACAAATATTCTCTGGCAACACCTTTCATGACAATTGTGATTTGGAATGACCATCCAAACATAAATTAGTGTGTTTGGTGCCTTTGTAAGCTTACTTCTTTGACCTATTTGCTGTTGATTTCTCTTTCAACCTGACACCTACTGAGACAATCATTTAGCAGAAGAGAAGCAAAAAAGAGAGAATGGTCTTGAATGTTACTCCTTGCTTTGCCAGAAAGACCATTACAGAAGTCTTTCTTTCAAAAAAATACAAATGTTGCTCCAAAAGTAATGCTTCCTATTTATTTCCATAAAAATTACAAAACCTACAAAGAGCACAAGGACACTATCTGATTAAGAAATTCTCAGGTACAAACCAGCATTTTTCTCCATAGTCACCACTATTAGCTACGTATTTTTGCCACCAATTATCAAGACCATGCTGTGCTCATAAAAATCCACATAGCTGTCCAGAACATGTCTTGTCTTTGAAGTTGCTGTCACCACTACTGACATGTGCCATATACTACATCACTGTGCTCACATCCACTGTTAGGTTTCCAGAAATGTTCAGCAAGTGTTGATGACTGTCAATGCGTACAATTTTTTCCATAAAGAGGAATTCAATTCCACACCCTTGCTTCAGACAGACTTCCATATTAGATACCATTTTCACAGAATCATAGAATCCTTAGAGGTGGAAGGGATCTTTAAAGGTCCAACCTAAATCTTCTGTCTTTGAGCCTGAAGCCATTTCTCCTTGCTCTATCACCAAAGACCCTGCTAAAAAGTCTGTCCATTTCTTTCCTGTAACTCCCGTTCATTTTGCCCCTCTGTTGTCATCTGTCATACACCAACAGAATGTAAAGGAATATGGTGGGAAGGTTCAAACTCTCTACTGCCATACCACCAGCATCTGCCACTGATGTCATGAGACAACATCATCAAATATTATGCATCAAATTCACAGCAGCCCTCATAAAAAGAAATTTGGGAGAAGGAATACAGAGGCTGTTCATATCATTCATACATTGAGTGGGATGACTAACTTTTCTGCAAACTGGGAACATGTGAGCTTTTTAAACCATACTGCTGGTTATCTACTGGATCCTACATAAAGATAGGAGAGAAACAGCATTTTAAATATATTAGAATTATATGATTGCTGGTGAATGGAGCTAAATCCAGCTGGCAACCAGTCATGAGTGGTCTTTCCCAGGGGTTGGTACTGGGGCCTGTCCTGTCCAATCCAATGTCTTTATTGATGACATGGACAAGGGGGTTGAGTGCACCCTCACTAAATTTGCCAGTGACACCAAGCTGGGAGGAAGTGTTGATCTGTCTGGAACTAGGAAGGCCCTACAGAGGAATCTACATGGGCCAAAGCCAAGTCCCAGATCCTGCACTATGGCCACAATAACCCCCCTGGCAATACTGTACACTTGGGGCTGGTGGCTGGAAGGCTGTGTGGAAGAAATGGACCTGAAGGTGTTGGTTGATGCTTGGCTGAACATGAGCCAGCAGTGTGCCCAGATGGCCAAGAAGGCCAATGGCATCCTGGCTTGTATGAGAAATAGCATTGCCAGTAGGAACAGGGAAATGATCATCCCCCTGTACTCAGCTCTGGTGAGGCAGCACCTCGAGTACTGCATTCAGTTTTAGGCCCCCTACTACAAGAAAGACATCAAGGTCCTGGAGCTTGTCTAGAGAAGGTGAGGGGTCTGGAGCACAAGTCTGATGAGGAGAGGCTGACAGAACTGGGACTGTTTAGTCTGCAGGAGACTCAGGCAAGACCTTATTTCTTTCTACAATGACCTGAGAGGACATTATGGCAAAGTGGGAGTTGGCCTTTTCTCCCACATAACTAGCAACAGACTAGAGGCGATAGTCTCAAGATGTGCAAGGGGAGATTCTGGTTGGATGTTAGGAGTAATTCCTTCTCCAGAAGAGTGGTTTGCCACTGGAACAGGCTGTCCAGGAAGGTGATTGAGTCACTATCCCTGGAAGAGTTCAAGAGATGTGTAGATGTACTAGAAGACATGGTTTAGTGAGGAAATACTGACATTAAGTGGACAGTTGGACTGGACAATCTTGGAGGTTCGAACCTTGTTGACTTCATGATTCTATGATTGACCAGAGTACAGCTCATAGGCAACAGATTCTTTTTAGCAGCTCTCATATTTATTAGCATTGCCATTAGCAACAAATTTTAAGATATTCTGTAGCTTAGTTAGTTGAAGTAAGTTTTTCTAAACTTATTATTAAATATCTATCTGAACAAAATCAAAACTCTGTCTAAAACATTCAAACTAGCTGCAAATGATATAAGATAATTTCCTGAAGATAGACTGCATGAAGTGATGATGATTCATACCACTAATACATTTTGAGTGGAAAGTGGTGTCCTTTTCAAAGTAAATAAAATAAAAAATACCTTCAGTCCCTCTTTCTGTAAGTCCTGGGCAAGTTCTCTGCAGAGTTCTCGACACAGGTTGTACTGATCTTCTGCCGTGTTAATTTCACTGAATGTTCTAAGATAAAGAAAAAGTATCTTTTTTTGATATCAATCCTAAGGCTTGCTGCCATCTAAATGTTGTTTGTTTTTCTTTAACACTTGAACAAGTCTACATCAAAAGAAAGTTTCATGGGGTTTGAGTGTTTACTTCAAAGATATAAGAAGATTAAAAAAATACTGATACAAATACTGTACTAAAAGATTCTTGCACATTTATGTGCTTAAAGATATTTGTTAAACCCCTCAAATAATGAAATAATTCAGCAGCTCAACTTCTCATGCAGTAGTTGAAAATAAATAAGATTTAAAGTCATTAATGTTTAAATATTTGCAAGAGAGAATGCTAATATCAACTGAATTCATGGAGGCAGCAAAGTAATTTGTATGTAATCTCCTTTGTACACTGCAGTGTAACATCAGAAGAAAGAGAAGATTAGAAAGTCAACATCAGAGCCAAGTGTTAGAAATAAATAATGCAGATAGAAAGAAAAATATGCCAGCTAGGATAATTATGTATAGTCACAGAGGATGAAAAACTAGCTTTCTGCCAAAAATGCTGTTAGAGCTTCTCATCAGGGGAACTGAAGCATTGTTTTTCCCATTAATGTATCTGCTTTTTAGGAATAACACAAGGAAAAGGAAGTTGCTGTTAGTCGTGGTTTTAAGGCACACTAGAATCAAAACTTACAGCCTTTAGATGTTTCTGGAAAAGTTTCACAATTCCATTGTTTCATTTCAGGCTCTATATTTTTATGAGTGCAAAGTCCTTACAGTTGCACTACTTTTCATGTCTCAAAGTTACATTCACATTTACAGCATAGCCATCCCCTCTCAAGATTCACATTCCCCTAAGAATGTTCGCATGCTGCCAAACTAACAGACTGATTATTTTACTGTGGTCCATTAACCAAGATGTAACTGATGTTACATAGGTAACACTGCAGTGATTTACAGCATTGCAATCCTGTAGTATATGGGAAGCTACAGGATTTGGAAGTTTGGAAGGGGGGAAAGATAGAGACACTGCAATTTCAAACACCCCTCTTTCTTTCATATAAACTAGCTGCATGATCCCAGCAGCCCACTGATGTCTCTTATCTAACCAGATCTTTGTTCAGAGAGAACAAAAGAAGGTATAAAACACAGAAAGGTAATAGCCTACTCAGATTATCTATCAGCCTGCAAACCAGCATATGACTGGCCTGAATTTGGTCAGAGTGGAGAAGAAAAGGGAGATATTGCCATCTAATATTTAATGGGGTTTATAAAAAAAAACTGGAGAGCAACAGCAGATAGTGATAGGACAAGGGAAAACAGTTTTAAACTAAAAGAGGGGAGATTTAGATTAGGTATTAGGAGGAAATCCTTACCAACATTGCCTCAAATTATGATGTCTCAATAGGAATATTAATTTTTCCTTATTTTCTAAGATGAGGGCAGGATAATTACTACAGTTACATGCAGATTCTCTTTGCAATAATTTCTTTCCAAAACCTCACCTTTTTAAACTAACATGTTGCCTTCTGAAGGAGTGCTAAATTAGTAAGAAATAACGCACAAGGAAACACATCTCAGCAATCCCTGCAAAATTAGGGCCTTTCAAGACTTCACTGCATTATACATGTTATCCACGTGACTGCAGGCTACTCGATTGCTACTGGCATTGAACTGAAACATAAAACAGTAAATGTTTCCACTCTACATTGTGAGTGGAATCTTCAAAGAGAAGCAGATGATGAGAAAACAGAAAACAAAGAAGGAGTACTTCCAGAATATTCTGAAGCCAAAAGGGGATGGGGTGAGGATGGAGCCCGAATGTGAGCTTTGTTAGCTTTATAACATATGTAAATACACAATGAATTTATATGACTAATAAAACCATACACATCAGGACATTAAGTAGATTTAGTGATTAATGTAATTTTTTCAAGGTCAAATGATATACCTTTCAGTGCTCATACTTTTTCTTTCTCCATCCCTTAAAAAAACAACAAAAAGAAAATAAATTAATATACTCACTTTACCAGTAATTTTTACCTTTTCACCAGACTCTGAGTCAACTTCAATCATGCTTCAATAAATAACAGCAAACTTCTCTGTAAAATCTGAGTATTATATTCAGCAAATCTTGTACATTAAGCTTGACTGAGTGTAGACAAGATACATATATATCACTTACTAAATATGGCAATATAATATATAATAAAACCTACAGATGTAAGACTTAACAGTTTGTAAAATAAACCTTTTGTCTCTTATCAAAAAAGTTATCTGAAAACTAAATAAAAATCTGATTCTGTTTCTCCTAGGTATAACACAAATACTGCTAGTAAAATCCCAAACGTACTACACATGTAAGAATATTTGTTTGTCTGAAGGTTTAATTTGCTTTCTACCTAAATTTCTGCCTAAATTTCTTTTGCAGTGATAATCTTAATTTTTGACACGTTTTATCACAGACTGTATAACATCTACAACAGGGTGAATAAGGAAAGAAAGTCTGCTGATTTTAAAGGAGCATCTGAGGTTGCATTATCATAGCAGAAACAAATGTAACAATCTGATTTTATTCAAGTCAGCTTCACAAAGTGAACCCTACTGCATGTTTTCTTTCAAGTCATCAGTTTGCTGTATTTTTTTTTATTTTCAGAAGCATTCACGGTAGAACATTACTTGCCTACAAATTATTAACTGCCAGTATTATTTTATAGACAAATTGGAAAAGTATAAGATCTACTACTGTCAGAGGAGTAAAGGAAGTAAGGAGGAATACGTTTTTCAGAAGGTACTTTGGAAGTGAATTCCTAATAAAATCAAATCGTGGTCATTTTTTGATAGAATTTTATAACTTTTGAAAGGACAGAAGGATATTTATGGATGTAATATTGACAAGAAAGGACTCAATCCCTAATTAGAAATACTGGTTCCTAAAATTCCAAATAGCAAAGTGCTATGACTTTTAAAATTAAGTGCTGTGTATTTGTATCCAGGGCAGGCTTAGAAATGAGGTATACACAATTGAAAAGACAGATTTACTGGTAAAAATTATTTCTCCCATCCAAACAAAAGAATAAAAATCTACTCAGTAATGAATCTCATAACAACAGATATGAAAAAAAAATTTGAAATCTTCAGTTCTATTCTCGTAAATTCCTACGTTATTATAGATTTGAACATAAAAATGAGAGGAGACACAGAAAAATTATTTACTTTCAATAGCAACATGACAGTTTACCACCAATATGATTTCCAATACAATCAGATAATAAAAAATGGTGAAGGTGTATTATTTTCATAAAAGAAACATGACTGAACATCTCTGCTTTGGATAAGTAACTACTATCTCTTCAGTTATTTTAATAATTGTGATATTATCCTAAACTATATATTAATCTTACAGTATGTTAGTACCTAGTATAATAGTATATTATATGTTAAGATATATTATATTGTGTATTGTAATATACTTAGATACATAGAGAGATATCTAATATATAGATATATTTACTATCAGTATAATAAATAGTGCTGACTTGGTTAATAAAATACACATACACACAACTTCCTCTTTAAAAGACTTATTAAATTTCATATGTTGAACACAAGCCTAATTTTCATAGTATTTTTTGGTCTGTCCACATAGTGTACCTTAAAATGTAAATTATATAAAACATACATGGAAACATTTAGCAAAATGTAAGCAGTAGAAATATAAAAGCAACAAAACCAAAGCATACTTTTCCAAATGTGTTGAACCCAGCCCAAGAGAGATATCCAAGAAACTACGCCAAGATGCTTCTGAAAAAAGAAGAGAAAGCAGTGCCCTCTGCTGGTAAAGTTCTGAGCAAGTCACAATTCCAAGGGCTTTTAACATCTTCTCTGTTACTTTTCCTATACCTGGCACCTGGGAGGAAAAAACAAACAAACAAACAAGCACACATTAAAATGGAAATTACCATTTCCGGATCCAGTACTAAGAAAAAACTGGGCATATTACTTAGAATTTTTTTTTTCTTTCTGGAGAAATCTTGGTTTTAAAACATCAGAAATATAAATGATTGTATAATAAATGTATAATAGTACCTCTTACCTTTCTAATGGGCAAATCTTTTATGAAGTCTAGAACTGCTTGTCTCTCTGGAGAAATTCTGCATTGTCCATTAGGTTTATTACGATCACTGCACATTTTTGCTAACATTGTATTTGGAGCAATTCCTTAAACACAAAGAAAGAAAATATTGAAAAACACAAGACTGCAATTTTAATCGTCCATTATTTAAAAGTGTAAGAGTAGCCTACACATTTGGTAAAAGCAAAAGAAAAATGGTAACTAATAATAAGCAGATTTCTTGGAATTCTGGGGAAAAGAAAAAAAGAAAAAAAAACAATAGTAATAAACTTGTGAGAAAATAAATACATGCGACAGTTTAAAAATAATTGATGCATCAGATCGAGCGTACCTACTATTTTGAAAAAGGCTAACAGAACATGTACTAATCAGTCATGAGGAGTTAGATATCAAGCGTCTTAAAAATAACATCCATTACATGACTGAATGATTTTATGACTATTAAAGTGATTACAGTAAGAGAAAAGAAAATTCTTACAACAGCAGTTACAATAAATTTCAATGTAAAGGTGTTATTGTAGTTGTATTGTTTGTATTGCTAGTAGTTCAGAAAAAAAGACTCAATGTATTATGATAAAATTTACTAACCTAGTATTTTCTGGACTACCACTGATAGGAAATTACTTAGAATTAAAAAATACATAATATTCCATTGATCCTGCTTGGAAGAAATAAGTAGGCGTTGCTCCTTTCTAGAAAAGTAAATAGCTTTACAAACAAACTATAGGATCAGTTAGCAAAAAAATTAAGAAAAAAAAACTGCTTAGCAATATTTTTCACGAGTGGACTGCACACAGCTCAAGCATTGACTGCATAGGTGGAAACAAGAAAGGCACACTGCAGTGCTAGCTCTGCCTCTCATGCCCATCACACGCACTCAGATTAATTTAAAATCACATGTACTACTCATTAAATTCGCTTGTGCCACTTAGTGAATAAAAGGCAGTGATTGCTGATAATGATATTTCAACTTAGCTACAGGTGTGTATGCCTGTGAGGGCATACTTTTTTGAATCAAGCAGACGTGCAAATTTTCTTATTATTAAAATCGGGCTTATGTTATTTCATAAAACACTGTAGTAAATTGACATTTTCACTGCAGATGAAATATCCAGCACACTCATGCCGTGCTGACAAATTTTATCATTTCAAATGCCTCGTAAGACCACAAAAAGCTTAAAATAATTTACAATGCTTTTTGGTGGATTTGACAGTTCATTTAAACAAGTTACATAAGCACCTTCAAGGTGAACTTATCCATGTTGTATTTCAACATACAGCGGCGTTCACAATGAAACAAATTACAGCAAACCCGAGATATGGCAAATAATTGTATGCACTGTGATACAGTGGGTAAACATAGTCCTGTGAACATTGGAAAAATATGTGCTTTGTTTTTGAGCTTGATAAAGAAATTTGAAAATAGATTTCAAGTTTTCCAAAGAAACATCAGCTTTTTTCGAATACTCACAACTCCATTTTCAGTTCTCACATGTATTACCTGTGAATTTTCAAATCAAATGTATAGAATTGCAGTCAGGCATTCAACTCAAAGAAAAATGTGGTCACTTCTCTTTACTAGACTTTTATAAGGCCTATCTTAACATAGAAAAATATACCTCACTATCACATCTTATTCATGTAATCACTTTTTGGCAGTATGAACATTCCTGATCAATTTTTTCAAGGATGATGCACAGGAAGAGTAAAATCAGATCAAAAATCTGACAAGCATCTTGAGCACTTACTAATAATCATAGCCACTTCCACTGAAACAGACAATGAAATCAGTTTCACAAAAACAAGGTCAAACAACCCACTAGTTTTATGGTTTTGTTGACTTTTTTTTTTTAATGTTTTTATAAAAACTACTGAAAAATACAAGATGTTATTTTGTTAGTTATACACGTTAACCACATTATGTATTTTATTAATGGCCCAACTTCTTCTTTCAGTGAGGCCCAGAGCTCAGAGATTATACATCTACAGTCTGGATGGTGGAAGTAATTTTCTTTCACTATTGGTGATCAGAATTTTTCCATTAGCCTTCTAACCATGTTTCATTTTGATGCATTTATAAAAGCATCATTAGCAGTATTTTATCCTTCAGGGAAAACATTTCAGAAGATCAAAATTATTATTTTGCTACTACTTATAACATATGGAGCAATCTCATCTGTTTGTTTCTACTACCTATTTTACCTCTGCTTGCTTTTGACATTTCTCTGGCCTTCACACTTACCTGCTTCATAAAGTTCAGCTTTCCCTGATGCCTCACAGACCTGGTTCACAAAGCTCTTTGGATGCCATCCAAACTAGATTACTAGGAACATACTTACTTACTTACTTACTTACTTACTTAATTTATTTAATTTATTTATTTGATATCTAAGGCAGATTATCAACGCTTGCAGGTAGGTTGCCTGAAGACAGGAAGCTTGGATGGCAAATAACCTTCTCAATATTTTATTAACTTACACTTACTTCCCTAAGAATCATCCTTTAAGTGAATTTCAATATTGTATTAAAAGGAACAAAAGGAACAGTGTGGCAAGATTGCTAGAGGTAGCAATAACTGATCTGTTCTTCAAGCTAAAACCAATTCAGGAAGCAGTAATGGATTACACTACAGCCATAAGCGTGTTATAACAATTTACATGAGGCACTAAAACAAGTATCAGCAGTGCTAATAATTCCTGAGTTCCCCAATTCACTTAGAATCATAGAATCATAGAATCACTCAGGTTGGAAAAGACCTTCAAGACCATCGAGTCCAACCACAACCAAACCATACTACCCTAACTCTAACAACCCTCTGCTAAATCATGTCCCTGAGCACCACATCCAAATAGTTTTTTAAACATAACCAGAGATGGTGACTCAACCACCCCTCTGAAGAGCCTATTCCAGTGCTTAACAACCCTTTCTGTAAAGAAGTGTTTCCTGATATCCAGCCTAAACTTACCCTGGTGCAACTTGAGGCCATTTCCCCTTGTCCTGTCTCTACACTACTTCCATTTCAAGACAAAAGAAGCATAAAGAACTACTTACATGATTTAAAAAATAGAGGAATGGCTTTGATACATATAAGGTTTCACTAATGACCTGAAAGACAGTTTTTACAGAATTGCAAAAGAGGCATATTTCTTTGCAGCACGAGAATGCTGTGGCAATACTTATTTCTTAAGCCTGTAACATCCCCTGAGATTAGTGTACAACACACTATGGAAACACAAAGGATTATTATTTATGTGTTTGAATACCTGCACTAGCAGTCAGTTGAGTTTTCTGCTCAATCCTGAAGCGAATTTCCTTCACAGCTTCTTCTGCAGAGGTTCCAAACACAACTACATTTTTCAGTGACTGATATCTTTGTCCAGAGTGATCATCCATTACAGATGTGCCATCTTCAAACAGCTCTGGTGAAGAAGAGTATCCATCTATATTCAGTCTGCCAGATATGCTTATATCCTCTTTATCTGTATCAGATAAATACACAAGCAATTAATCAATATATATACAGCATCTATTTCATTAATTTTCCTCTGCAGTAGAGAAAAATAGTTTATTAGCAATTCTGTTCTTTCTGTTTAACAGAAATGTATGCTTATTTAGCCAGAATGATTACATTGCATTTTCATTTGAAGAAAGGAGAGTCACAATTGTTTTATTCTTTGTAAGATTATACTTGGCTGAGATTAGAAATGGCTAGGAGACTGGGCTTCACTTCCAGAAAAGCACTAAGGTTTAATGCCTGGTGCTGTGATAGCAGAAAAACACAAACACTGTGGCATTACTTGTGTTTCATATCATAGAGAAGCCCAGATGTTCCCTTTTTTCATGGGAATTAAAATCTTCTGTGCTTTTTTTTCCCCTCAATATTTTCTAATGATACTAGGATAATGCAAAATTTCTGGTTCTAGAATAGCCAATCTGGTAAGTTTCAAATCTTCAGCTTCAGTCATCATAGAACTAGGAATGACAGCAGCCCTTTGTCTGAATACAAACTTTTCTATTACACTTTCACATTCTCAGTGCTGCACACGGTAGGAAAAGAAAACAGCAGATAAGTATGAAGAGACACATGATTACATATTAGTGGTATTTAATTTGCATAGACAATGCCAGTTTGTTTTCTTCTCATCTACTAATGTTTTTCAGTACAGCTTCTTTCGTTATTCTCTTAATAGCTATTTGGATAATTTTTTAATATAATAGTACAAGCTATCCACTTTGCACTTCAATCAACCATTTACTTGACTCCTTTTTTACTATTCCTAATTGGTTTCACAGTTGTGGGTGTGGATCGAACTCCACCTTCTAGAGCCATGTGAAATCCAGACATATCTTTAAGCATTACCATATTTCTGTAGCATTACCATATTTCTTTGAAGAGTTCTAGTCTTGCAAAATCATCTTAATAGAGCTTATACATGTCTGCTTTGCAGATAATTTCTCACATTTCTGATGTACAGAACTCATTGCAGTATTTCATTCTAGGAAACACTTCAGCAAATTGTAAATAATCTTTAGAACAATCTATTTATTTATTTATTCTATACTTCCTTAGGTCACAAGATTATTACTATTTATTTGCAAAATTACAGTTTTGAATTGTAAAGACAAAATACGTAGCTAAAACATGCAACTGGGTATGGTAAACCTGTCACCACTTTTCACACATATGTACTCACAAGTTAAAAATCTACATCTCTAAATACTAACTGCCATCAGCACGGCTTTTGTAGAGAAAGTGAACTTATAACCTAAGAAATCAGAGGTAGATAGCATAAAGAATTACAAAGGATGCACTTAGATATGTGCACTTCCCATGGGAGCTGCTTTTCTGAAGTATACGGTATAAGCAAAAGAAGAGAGTACTTTGCTTACTTTTATCTGTAGTGTTTTCTGTGTTCAAAAAGTATCTTCTTTTATCTTCAGGCCAGTGCAATCTTTCCTCCAAGTGTTCTGTTACATTCAGGTAGGCTTCATCTAGGCCCATAGGCATAAAATGGGGATCATATTCAGCCAGTATCTCTTTAACCTTCATGAATGTATAGAGAAAGTTTAAATCTTTGCTGTAAAAACAGATCTTGATGAACAATCATTAGGTGAACAAACATACTCTGAAAACTCAAGATGACCATTCACCATTAAAGACATTTATAGAGCAAATAATTTTTTGATATTACAAAATTATAGCACTACTTCTCCCAAGTACCAAGACATCAATATTGAGCAAGAAAAGTGGTTCTGAAATGGTGTTTTACTGTACAGGTCACTAAGCTCGGTGAATAAGCACTCCATTGGCATTAGGTTCACAGTCACTACGGTAAGTAATTGAACAAAACTCTGGGAGTCCAGGAAACTGACAGAAGTTGAGAAGGAGCACGTTAGCTGGTCTATCTATCTGCACTGTCTGTCAGACATCAGATAGGCAAAGCATAAGAAAAGCCCACATTTTAAATCATAGTCAAACAATTTGGTGTAGCAGCAGTTTAAGAGCTCCAGTCAGAGCCACTAGCAAACCTTACCCCAAAATGATTAATTTTGAGTGCATCCTCCAAAACAATATATTAAATTAATAGGACAAATAAAATCTCTCATTTTACTGCTTCTCTTCACCCCTTCCCTCCCTTTTATTATTATTTTTTATTTTTTAGCAAGAAGGAAAATTTGACTGCATTATATTTTATAAGTTTAGCTCCAATTATTAGGAATCACAATATTTGATCATATGCATCTCATCTTCCCTTAAACAATTAATGATAAGATTCACTGCTCAGTTTTTACTAACAAAGCAAAATAAATCCAAATCTCAAAAAAATCACAAATATAAAACCAAAACAACTGTAACTTTTAATACTTTACTACCATCAAACAACAAATGAGGTATATGTGTTGCGAAATCCAAGATTCTAAACAGGTTCAAACATATTCTAATGTAACATTTATGCTGCCACATTTCATTATCTAAAACTGATAAAGTCTAAAACAAAGTACACCCATCTTTAGTTAGAATATTTTTCATTTTTCCAGACTTACCTCTTTACTCACTTTTCTGTATTTTTCAAAGTTTAACGGTACTATAGTTAGATGTGGACACAGCTTTTTGGCAATAAATCCGGGCATGGCTGCACGTACACCAAATCTCCTAGCGTGGTAGTTTGAGGTGGACTTGGAAGAAGAGAAGAAGTTTAATATTTGGTAATCAAGGTTTACTCAATGACACTTAATGTTAAATCAAATTCTGATCATGCACACAGAAAAGAGTGAATAGGATGAAAATAACACATTCTTTTCCCCTCTCTGGTCTGTTCACACCCTTTCATTATTACACTTTCTACTGAAAAACAAAGTTCAGGTTAACGTGGTCTAGAATAGACACTTCCTCTACCATTCTTGTTATTTTTTCCAGAAAGTCATGAAACTTCTCTTTATTATATGCTATTATTGTACATTTTATCACATTTTTAGATTAATGCAATTAATTTCTATATTAGCTTGACATTTGGTCTTACCAACATACTCATTGATCCCACTGCAATAGGCTTTTCCTTCAGCTCTGGATTGTCTCTCATTTCCACAGCTGCATAGAAGGCATCCATGTCAATGTGTACAATAGTACAACTAAGGTTGCGACTCTGTTCCAGCTCCATCACAAGTTTGTCCACCTGAACAAAATAAAGTAATAATTAAAAAAACTGTTAACCTTGCAGAAGTTCAAAAGTACACACGATTTCAATAATTTTGATGTATATGGCATGCTGTTTAAGAAAAAAAACACGTTTCTGGTGACACTTGCCTAAAACACTGCTAGAGCAAATGGTACAAAAAGCAACAAACTCCTCACCAGTGGGAAAAAAAAACAAATTCAGACAGTAACTGGGATGAAGATGCTGCTTCAGCTACTGTCACAGACATTATTTAAAAAATAAACAAACAGATGAAAATACATTAATAGAATGTGAATTTCCAATACACCTAGCTGAACCTATCACTCTTCAGGGAATTGGCTCAAATTTTTCACATGAAAAAAGACCAGCAACTCAAAAGGCAGTACAGTCAATCTTACTTTGTGAGAAACAAGGTCTCAGACAGTTTCATTTACTGCAAAGAAAGCTGCTGTTAATACCTTTGTAAAATTCTTCAGCTATTGTTACAGGAATATGTATTAAAAGGCTGGACTGCAAGCAGAACAGTATGGCAACTTTTAAAGATTGTACATAGAAAAGAGTTAGAAAGTACTTTGTTTCTCTTCAGGAGTTAAAGATTTTTCTCCTACAAGTAGATTGTGGGTTTGATCAGTCCCCCAGTGTTCTGAATCAGTCAGACATAGGTTTCTCCACAAAAATACTTTGAATTGTTTTTCTTAATTTATTTGCATTCTTTTATTGAGAGAGCTGGAGACTTTGTGCTTGTTTCTGAAATATCATTCAACTACAAATGCAGTATGAAGTGCGTGTCACTAGAAAGTATGAGTGATTACTTAATAGAGAATTTTTAAGACCTACTGACTTAAGGTGACTATGTTGTCATTACCATACAACAGTCTAGAAGCAAAAGAGAAAACATCAAAAAAGGAGAACAAAGGAAGTGCTATCAAACTATGATCGCCTAATCATACTAATGACTATGCTAACCTCTATTTACACAAACAAAAAGTTGTTGCGATTAGAAAAGAAACAGTGAGCTTCACACACATTAGAGCTCAAGAAATGCATGTAGTGAAAAGGAGCAGAAGTTTCACTCTGTGTGTAAAGAACAAGGACGTTCACAAACATTCGTGAAATCAAGGTACCATCACAGAAATGTCTCTGGCTCAACTGTAATGATTTTACGGTCTTGAAAAGGAACAGTTATGTGCAATTTGCCCAGTCACTGCAAGAGTTGTTCTTTGTTGCTCTTTTTTTTCCCCTCACAGAGCTACTTAATAAAATAAACGAAAAACTAATCTAAAATCTCAGCCTTTGAGGCTGAAGATACTTGAACAAAGACAAACGGCTTTGAATGTCCCGAACAAATTGCTGAATAATGACTTACTTAGTCTTTTCTCTTCTTTGTTCCACCTTCGCTGTAGAGGTGAAACAGGACCTCAAGGTAGGCTATTCCATACAGAAGAATACAGTATGCTCCCAAGGCTAAACATACTAGTTTAGAGAAATTAAGGGCCCAACTAAAAGTTAATGCAGGCTATTTACTATTTACTATTCACTATTTACTAGCTATTTACATAATGCAACACATGGGAAAAAAAAGTTTCTTACATTGTTGAAGAACATAAAATATGCAAGACACACAATTCCTATCTTAAACTGCATAATCAAATTAAGATATTAAAACATTCATTTATGCTACTGTTTCCAGGATATAACCCAGATTTTGTCCAACAAATCAGTAAGTGAGAAATTTTTTTTATTGCTTTGATTTTACATTAGAGATCCTGTACAGATTGCCAGCTTAGGAAGCTGTATCTCAGTCTCTAAGCACCCTACAAACAAGACTTAACTTGAAGATGAAAACTTGCAGCATGCATGCAGATATATGCATATATTTCCAAATATATGTATATGTCTGTAATTCCAAAACATCTCCTAGTTACACATTCTAGGAGAACAAGTTCTTTCACAGTATTTCAGGAAGGCAGTATTGAAATGAAGAGTGTGACTGAAATAAAGAAAGCGATAGGAAGAAAGCTAAAGATGATAATGAGACTTAGGTATACCTGTATCTGAAAAATTTAGAGAAGCTGATTAAGTACTACACAGATTAAGGAACTAATGTAGGACAAAGGTGACCTCAGACACTGAAGGTTGAGAAAACAGCTCAGGAAATATACCTCAGCTTCTCATCTACAAAATAAAAATATCACACTACTTTGCTGGAGTTTTGCAAGAATAATTTAAAGAATTTTCAACACGTAGTGTACAACACAGAAAAGCCTATGAAGAAGACAGTAATTCTACATTTAAAGCTGGATTAGTCTAGTGTAGAACAAATAAGCCTTGGGGCCATCCACTGAGCAATGAGGACAACAGTAAATAATTGCTCACTCACTGAACTGTGTCTGTACTGCACACTGAATGAAACAGGAATCCTATTAGAGAAAAACGGCATGCAATCATGTAATTAAAGACTGAATCACAGTACAAATCAGAAAGGAAGTGAATTAAGCCACTACAAGTAACTTTAATTATGCCTGTCTACGAATGTAGTGTGCAACCTGTTGTAGTTTTCTTCTAACAGTATCTACCACAGAGAACGATTTAGGATATTGTTATCTACTATTAGCATATGAAAAGAATAATAGTCCCTCCATCCTTCTAGTTTAAGACACATGTATTTCATCTGACTTCTTACCTTCCATTACAAAGCACAAATAAAGAATATGTTAACCGGAAGGAGCTGAAAGCTCTGACCATCTTCATTTCATTGAGTGTCATTAACACAAAAATACATATTTTCTAAAACTGAAGAATGCTATTTTATTTATTAACTAAGTACTTAATAAAGCTGTTCCAGAAACCATAATGATATCCCTTCAAACTGTCTGGATTTAGAAGGACGAGAATGAAGAATTCTAATTAAAAAAAAATTTAAAAATCATGTATGTTTTAAAACTTACTTAATCTTTTTCTAGGAATGTTTTATTACACTTACATCCTTAAATCACTGTACAAAATTTACTTGCATGACTGATATGTAAACAGTATCTAATGCTGTGCTTATCAACAAAATTTAATGCAGCAAATTAAATCCCATTGAAAAGTTTATGCATCATCTTCTCAAAATAAAATAAAATAAAATAAAATAAAGTAAAATAAAATAAAAATGTACAGGATGAGTACCTGTAACCGTGCTTTCAATAGCTGTTGTTGTGTAATTTTCTCCTTAAGCTGCATCATTTTCTCAATTCGTTGGTTAACCTGTTGATCTTTTTTGAGCTCATTTTCAAAAAATTTGGAGCCCTGGAAGAAAATTACAAAAAACTGTAATGTAAGGTTTTAATTTGTCTTTTCATCTAGTAAAGTAAAAATTTGATCTTTAAATATAGAAAGTGTGAAACACAGTAATGAATACTTTGGATTTTCAGACAGCTGATAAACAAGAGAGATTGATGTTTTCTTTCAATATCAGACATACACATCATCTTTTTTCCCCTCAGCAATCAAGCATGACTTGTTAACTCTTGCTGAAAGAATTCAATAAGAAAATGTTAGGATGAAGAACTGCCCAGTATTTAAGACTTATTGAAGAAGTTCTTCTCTGAGATCCCCTGCAGTATTTCAAAGTTGAAATTATGTAAAATCTTACCATAGCAGAACTGTGGATAGAGTTTGTAAGTTTAATTTTGAAAGAACTAAAAAAGAAGGAAAGTTTCAGAAAGAATAAAAGCTTATTTTCAGATTTCTTGATTCATACATGGCATTACATTCTCCTGCTTTACTTACAGAAATGTATCCTAATACAAAGAAACCTATTATTGGTTTTGAAAGCCCTTTTCACAGTTCATTCCATTTCAACACAGGTGATTAAACAGTAACTGTCCCTGAGAAATAACTTCTCCATATGTAATTATGAACATATTTCTGACAAAGAGCTAACTTTTCAAGAAATAATGGACACAATAAGGAGAGGAAACATCTATATCAACAAGAGTCTTAACACTACATAAAGTACTGTTGAAGTGGAAACACAAGTAAAGTATGCTTGCTAAATAAATGCTTTTTCTAGCACGTTCCCCATCCCTGAGTTTACCCCAGAGTGTGTAAAGCACCAACAAAAAACACTTTCTTACCACTGTGGTAAGCTTGGTATGGTTTGGACATAATAGAGTGACACACAAATTCCTGAGCAAAAATATTATGCAAATAACTTTGGGATATAGCAACATCAAATGAAATAAACATTCACGAAAGGAAAAGAAAAAAAATATAGAGCTGCCTGAATGAAGTGTTATCCCCGTATAGTCGCATCTGCCAGCCCTTTAAGAAAAAAGTAAGAGGACTAATATTCCAGTGCTTTGTAGAGGTGTGATTTCTTTTGTGTATCTTTGGCACAAAACTGCATGCTACTAGCCACCCCTCTCAAGAATCAGTTGAGACAAAGGACAAAAAGGAAAGGACAAAGGAATTCTACTGAAAACATTAAAAATCCATTCACATCAACTTTATCTATTATGGGAAAGGAGATATGAGTAGAAATGCTGGCAAGGAAAAATAAATAAACAAATACATTCAAACCAACCTTGGAAGCTTCCATGATGATTTTATTAATTTTCTCTTTATCCAAACCTTGCATTCCAGCTTTGTTATCATTGAGGCCCATTCTAAGCAGAGCTCCACCATTATAAGAGCTGTTATCAGCATTTTTCCCGTTGTCCATAGTACTTTCTGAAGACCAATATCTTTCCTGAGATTTAGTACCTGGAAAGAAAAAAAGAAAAAAAGAATTTAAGTTATGTACTTGTTTCTAAGTTCCAGCTGAACAATACAAAAGTAATTTGTAGAACTCATTTGCTGTGTATTTGTTCATGAAAACAACACATACATCACAAATACGAAGACATATTTGTGTAAAGTGGCTGACCTTCCATAATCACCAAATAAAGCCATTATCAGTCTTTGGAAACAATAAGGTTTTACTTCTTTAGAACTAAAAAACAGACTTTCAAAAGTCCCCTTACCAGAAATAATTGTGCTTCATCAGCTTCAGTAAAGGTTAGCATCTCATGTCACACACATGAGACTTATCCCTGTATGCAATCCCATCAGAACAAACAGTAATATCTCAAACACAGTAAGCTGCATTACTTTCCAAAAGCAAACAAACAAACAAACAAAAAAAACATAATGATTTTAAATTGTGGAAGATCATCATTCATTTAGTCCTCATTCCTGCTTGAGGTGTGCCATATAAATTTTCCCAGTAATTTCTAGCTCAACTTCAAAACTTCTGCTTGAATTACAGCTCATCTTTTGAAAAACAGACGGCTTCAATTAATAACTTTGAATAAATCTTCATTGTTTACTTCAGGGAAAAATTCCTGCATTCTTTTTCTCCATTAATTCATAGAGCCATAGCATCCAACTAACAGAGCATACCAAACTTTTACTACTCAATTGCTGCCATATGTAATTTCTTACATGCACAGGTACTTCTGATACGTGACATCTTCCCTTATGCCTTACAAAAGTGAACAGCTGAACTTTTCCATCTACATACACTGTTTAGATAAAAAGCTGATCTTAAACTGAACAAACAAAAGCTGCCTTCTGGAGCACAATCTTGTGGTCGCATTTCTACCAGATTAAAACATGCAGGATCCAAGACTGATATTGGGTTGAAAAATAGAATGCAACTTTGTTACTGGAAAAGCATACAGAAGTACTTTCTTCCTATCCTAAGCTGTTGACTAATGAATAGTTTCAGCTTTACTTTCATGCAGGAAGAATGTTCGCTCCTAAACTTCCCCTTCAAGCTGCTCCCTGTGACACGAGCCCTTCCTGCTAGAAGTCACATCCTTTCAGGCTCTTACAGCAGCTCTGTTAAACACAGCCATAAACTACATAAATCTAAGAGTGTTACATTTTTTCTAGAAGGTATTTTTAAATGCTGCTTTAACTACTGAAGGACGTATGTGGAACTCACTATCGACCATACTGAAAAATGTTATTATGCATTTTTCAGTTTAAAGCTATTTTGTGTGTGTGTGTGTGTGTGTGTGTGTGTGATAAAAGAACCACATGGGTGACTTATTTTACATTAGTGGTGCAGTGTTGTTATGTTCATGACAGTCACCTCCTGAAATACACTACTCAAATGAAATTAGAAGTAAAGCCACACATTTTAAAAGTTCTGCCACAAATATCCAATTTTTAATCACTTTCTACCAATTCAGATTGTTTTGTATGACACTTTCCAAAGACACAAGACCAGCTAAGTAACGTTGTATTTGTTTATACTGCTTGTTGCATTTCAAGGAATAGAAAGTACTTGGAGATACAGATAGAGATTCCAGCTCTTGGCACTGCTGTAGCTATAGTGCTACTGAACAGTCAGCCGGGATTGGGAAAGGCTTCATAGCTCTAGTGTGTGTCTATCAAACAAAAGACTACAATGACAAACACTGTCATTAATCTTCCACTTACCGGAGCCTGTAACAGGACTGCTAGACAAAAGCCAAAAGGGAAAAAAAAACAAAAACCTGCATTGCATACTTCAGTTCCAAGTTTCATCTTGAGTTCATGCCACTTCAATTAGCTACTCAGTATTTCCAGCATTACTTTCAATCTATGGTAAGCAGTGGGCATAATTGCAAATGAACACTTTCCTCAGGGTAAATTACCTTTCCTTACTTCCCCTGGTTCTTTTATCACTGCTTCTCTTCAAGAACTTGGCATGAACACAGCTACTGCTTCCCATTCCAGACTCTGGTCCCATACCTCTGAAAAAGTCTCTTTACCCCTAGCACGTACAAATCTTTCTCCTCTTCATTCATAAAGCCTCACCTTTATAGCAAGGGCTTTAAACACTAACTCGTGTGTTTACCTTGAAGTCCTTCCCTCCCACATTGCTATATATCCAATCAGAACAAAACGCCACAATGATAAAACAGTTTTGAAAAAGTCTCAGAAATGCCAGTCTCCTAGTGTATTTTACTTTCTCATGCTCTTGTGCATACCAATAATACATCAACAGTGACAGAAAACAAAATGTATAAAGTAATGCCTTAGCTGGAATAAAGAAAACACTTATCTGAAGACATGAACCACAGAATCACAGAATTGTAGGGGTTGGAAGGGACCTCCAGAGATCATCGAGTCCAACCCCCTGCCAAAGCAGGTTCCCTACAGCAGGTCGCACAGGCAGGCATCCAGGCAGGTCTTGAACATCTCCAGAGAAGGAGACTCCACCACCTCCCTGGGCAGCCTGTTCCAGTGCTCCGTCACCTCACTGTAAAGAAGTTCTTGTGCACATTTGTGCAGAACTTCCTATGCTGCAGTTTCCGGCCGTTTCCCCTTGTCCTGTCTCCACTCACCACTGAAAAGAGTCCGGCCTCGCCATTCTGCCCCCCACACCTCAGATATTTATAGACCTGGATCAGGTCCCCTCTCAGTCTTCTTTTCAATGAAAACATGACATCAATTCTCCACAGAAGCTTAAATACATAGAGGAGAGACATGAACAGAGCTTGGAGTCTATCAGAATAAGAGGTCTGAAAATACGTTAAATATTTAGCATATTTAAATGCATCACAGAAGCTACAATAGAACAACAGATAAAGCACTGTCAGACGAAACACTCAGTGGATCATCTGCAGTAATGACAACTTTTAAAGGAAATGCAGGAGAAGCACCATTTGAAGCACTGTACAAAATGTTAATAAAACGTCAGTATAGAAGTTTATGGTCACCATGGAAAACGGTCTCCATGGAAAACTGACCTGGAGAGGGCAGTCAGCTTGTGGTGCCTTGTGTTTTAGCTAAAACACGTTGAAGAAGAGGGTAAAAATTCAGACTAATGAAACACTAGTTTAGAACTGACTAGGCAAGGAGTGACAGATTTGTGACATATTTGTGGCATGCTGTCATCTCAAGAATCTGCTACAAGACTGCGCTGTTTCCATTAGAGGACGTTAAATTTCTGTCACAGCAAGAAAGAAGGGTATGAAATCAGAGGTCTGTGAAGGTAGTCTACAGTTAAACACTGTTCTATTATTGTTATTTGGAGATGGGCATGTGGAGCAGTAGAATCATCTCTATTTAGAAGAAATAACTTTTCAACTGCTACTGAAAGGGCATCTGAAGATAAAGAAGACTTGAACACTAACTGCCAATTGGTAATGGCAAAATAGAAAGGTGGAGAGGAACCACAGAACATCATTACTGTGTAGGAAGCATTGTTAGAAGTCTGGAATGCTTCTAAATGGAAAAAAAAAAACCTAAAACACTAATGAAACTCTTCTAGAAGCAAGCACAGAAACTCAATTGAATAAAAAGGTTAGACTGACACCAAAAGAGCAAGTAACAGATAGAAATTGTTTCATTTCAAGTGCTTCTACCTGTATTCATATTCAGCATCTGTTTGCATGAAGTAGCCTGAAGGAGACAGGTTATATTTGTGAGCTGCACTATTCCTCCTGTCCATATCCACTAAATACCCAGCAATTCAAGTAACAGAAACTCTGTGTGTAGTGTAAGAACCTAAAAACACTTCTTATTACTTTCATATAGTAAAATACAATGTGAGAAAAAGATTAAAAAAAACCACATTTCTAAAATATTCAGTTCTGTGGACACAGCTTTATCTTGCAAAGCAATAACATTCACAAAATTGTTAATACTTTGTCCTTTATTAATAGTGTAACAACTTGCTGAGAAGCAGCATTAGGAGTAGGAAGTGACAGCTGTTTGCAAAACTTGGAAACAGAAACTGTCATACCAACCAAATGATAATTTGATGAATGTAAATTGTGTAACTGTTCTCGTGAAGAAAAACTGTTATCTATGCTATCACAGACACTCACATCAACAAAAGAAACAAAGCATGAGATGAAAAGTACTGTTACACAACTGCTTATCCTCCTTACAGCTCCAAGGAAATGGAAGGGATCCCCCTTTTATACGTAAATTGTCTAAATCTAATATTTATGGCATAAAAATATACAAAATATGTAAAAATATACATATGCTGAAGTTGCAATAGCAACATTTCATGAAAATCTGATGCCTCATTTATTATAGTCCCCAAAAAATTTCCTACTTTCTTTTGATTAAGATGTTTTGGATATTTCCTCAAGCTCTTCTAATTTTATTTTAGAAAGGAAAAAACAAAATGATGACATTTTGACATATCTCTACGTATAAACATGAAGAACAGGGGATGGACTAACTTTGTGAGCCCTTACACTGGACACAGACTGTATTAGAAGAAAATAAATACTATCCTTAATATCTGTGACAAGGTCAAAATGTTAATAGAAGTCTTGTGAAGAGCACTGAACGCACAATAAACAGCTAACTGAGATGAATAACTTAGTTCATACAATTCTGACCATAAAGGATCACTTTACAGCCTTCTTACTAAGACCAAGTGCAGTGTAGTATGAACTGCACTATGCTCAAAAGACAAACACTTGTGTCCCTGCCTAGTGAGAAAAATATAAATGTCACAGACAACACCTTTGGCATTTACTTTCCACTTCAACTGAAGATGGAATTGAAGCTTAATGTTGCTAGAAACCTCCTCTATTAAAACAGGGTAACGAAATGGATACTCTTAATTTAATTAGCAGTTACTGTTCCAGAACTTAGGAAAACTCATTCACTTTTTTGCAAAAATGTATATAAATGTAAAATATAGAATATACTAATGTATAGTAGCAAGTTATACACGAAATCAAATTATAAAAGTTCAATTGCCTCACCTTCTCTTTTTTTTTGTAACTGTTTTGACAATAGAATACAAAAGAACACAAAAGAATTGAAGAATCTGAAGAATCTGAAAAAAGAATGCAGAACAAACAAGCCAAACAGACTGATTCAAGAGTTACTCTCAAACTCAAACCTTCAATAGCCTCCCTTAGACTGGAAATTATTACTGCTGGAAACCACATCACTGGCCACCTCAGAACAAAGCTGATCTATAAGTAATAACTAGAAACCTTCTCAGTAAGACCACAATTCACTCAAATCAACATTTTAAATCAACAACACTTTGATTTTTCCCCAAATGCTAATTAAGATAGAACAGGTGGCCATGCAGCTACACTTCTTATTCCACTTCCTGTACAGATATATCTTTACCTAGGCTCTGCATGTAAGTGTTTGGAGGCAGCACCCACTACTAAAGAACTAAACCGCAGCTAACCTGCCTGGGTACAAGAATTATTGCATCAATATAGCCAAGCTGTGTGAAAAATGTGTTACCAACAAACACTTTGCTTTATTTCTTGAATTTATAAGACAAGAACAAGCATATGCTCAAACTAGAAAGACTCAGTACTACAAGGATATTTTTAATGTCCCTGATGTTTAAAAGGTTATACCCCAACAGTGCATTTGATTTCATTCTACCTGACTTTGTTATTATTTGGGTGAGCTAAGAATTGCACCCTAAACAGGAACATTTGCATCACATCTTTTCCATCAAGAAAAGTTTTGCTGCACCTCTCTTTACTGAGTATTCATTTGGCAATGAAACATTCTGGGCGACAGGGTCAAATTTAACAAGCTCCTTAATTCTTATTTCCTTGTAAAAACACATTCCCTGGATAATGATTTAAATATCACCTGCACTTTGAAAGCCTTTGCTTCTCAGCAGAAGAAGCCACCAACAAAGACACGTGCAAGCAAGCACATCAGACTGTCCTTCTGAACGATCAGTTCAATTCTCTTCAGCCACTGGGGGTGATGGTTACCGGAGTTATGGTTACTGAGCGGACCCCAGAAAGAGGACTCATGTCAGTTTTAATCCTGCAGAGATTCGAAATAATAGAACTGGCAGGAAGAACTGTGCAATTGTATTCTCAGTATGTGAGCATACACAACATTAGTTATCTGGGTTCCCTACTAGCAATGTTCAAAACTACCATTTCGCTATTCTGTCTCAATGGATAATAGTATGTTATTTTTCTAGAAAAGCCGATTAAAATTCCAAGTGCTTATGCTGAGACAGCCAAATGGGACTATTTTTCAGGTAGCAGCTGTCCCAGCATTCTCTGAAAACTTATATCCTAACCAAATACTCAGAACTAGCTTTCTAGAAGCAGAATCCTAGAATCATGTCTTTTCTGAAATCATCAACTTACAAATTACAGACAATCCAAGCCTGCAGTAAGAAAATTCACGCTGCAAAGCAAACAGGTAAGAGACTGCCTGCTACGTGAAAGGAAGATGTCAAACTATGTATGTTATGCCATTCATTAAGCTACTTGGATAATTCTTCCCTTACAGAAAGAGCCAACTAAAATGAAACAAGTGGATTACCTACTTATGATAAATTTTCTGCAGGCAAAATGCGGTATAATAGTGCTGCAAATCCTGCTTTCAGCTCCTCTATGGCTCTGTTCAGAAAATCCCATGACTTTAGAACTTCAAAGTCTATTCCAAAGACAAAGAACTATGGTACCTTCTCTTGCCTCTACTCAGTTTCACAAGTTATTCTAAACTGAAAGACATTCACCTTGAGTTTCTAAGCAAGGTTTCCCTGAATTTCTAAAGTACTGAAAAAATGCTTGATTACTTTAAGCCAAAAGGAAAATAACGAAGGAATTTTTTATACCCAGGACCCTATGCTACTAGGCAATATGGTCATGTTTAATTAAAGCTCCTTCAAGAATCCCTTAAGAAAAATAATCCTAAACTTAAGCTATGAGCATGAACATACTAGAAAATATTTATATACTAAAGATTAATGTGCTTTTCTATCAACCAATCAAGACAGTACAGCTGAAAGTATAACAACACTGGAAATTAAGCATAAAAATAAGAAAAATTGGATATTCATAAAATTATTCATTTAGTGATGCTTATGACTAGTATCTTCAGAAATGTAGAGTCCTTACAATTTTTAAGTAATGAGGAATACAGACTGGATACAAGGGTTTGTGGTGAAATTATGATTACAGTAATCAAGCACAAAATAAATGCCCATTGAAGAAGGCTGCCCAAAAAGGTTGTGGATGCCTCCTCCCTGTGAGCATTCAAGGCCAGGCTGGATGGGGCTTTGAGCATCCTGGTCTAGACGGAGG